TGATCACCCTCTCAATCTTCTATCGCCCTCTCTCTCTTCTCTTGATCGCCCTCTCTCTCTTCTGTTGATCGCCCTCTCACTCTTCTCTCTCTCTTCTCTTGCTCGCCCTCTCTCTCTTCTCTTGATCGCCCTCTCTCTTCTCTTGATCGCCCTCTCTCTCTCCTCTTGATCGCCCTCTCTCTCTTCTCTTCATCGCCCTCTCTCTCTTCTTTGAAGGCATCTCCCATTGACTTCAATGTTAAAAAAAGAGTTTAAAAAGCTGAATATTTCAAAAAGTATAACATATTTAAAAAAATGTGAAGGTTTCCCATCGATTCCTGAAAAGGCTGAATAGTTTAATATTTGAATGGTTTCTGTAGCTGAAAATAAGCTGAAGTTATGGAGAGCCAAAGTATTGGCTGAAATAAGGGGAATAAAGATTTGAAGTACTATAGTGGAATGCTGTGGCACAGCATTCGCACTAATAAAGAATCGAAGTACTATAGTGGAATGCTGTGGCACAGCATTCGCACTAATGATCGGGGAATCCCTCCGGAGTAGAGTCATGGCGAATGGATCTGAATAATTTGTTTGTATTTGGTGGTTTGTGTTCCAGCTGTCGATCAGCAACTATATATCCATAATCCACCATGTTAAAGGAAATACAACTAATGTGTTGTGTTATATTAGCTGTACAATTTACCACATATGGTGTTCTTAGTTTCCATACCTCCTGTGTTTTACGAGCGACTTATCAAGTCTTGGCAAACGGCATAAAACATGATTAAACATGATAGTATATAAAACCATGCTCGTACAACCTATAGAAATGCAAAACGGTGTCAGTTTAAAGTAATTCTGTCCTTCTGTTTACCGCATCATTTATGAGAATACATTTCTTAACAAGAGAACATAATCGAGGGGTGAGCAATAACATTTCCGTATTTATTTATTTCTCCAAGTTATGTTTTTGTGTGCACTGAGGAGACTCAAACAGGCGTTTGTTTAATCATTTTAATATTGGCTTTAATCAATTTGTGAAAATGAATTCTTCATATATGAGAGGTAACATTTTATTCATGGTATTATTTCCACATATTTCTCTCCATTCTTCCTTCTGCCAACGGTGTCGCAGTTTCTCGTCTCTCCCGTTTTTGTGCTTAGTGCGTAGGCTACGCATGGGTCAGAGTTTGCGTGGAGGGCCGCACATTTTCCCGTCAAGTTTGTTTTCTATAAATCGCAAACATTGCGTAGAAACTGGCGTACGCCATCTTTAGAGTGTACGCACCGTTTATAAATGAGGCCCCTGAGCATGGTGCGCAAGGAAGACTGTGTAAAAACAAGCAGCATACATGCAGATATTTGAAATGCTAGCTTAAGGAAATGGCTACATGGTTGAAATTGTTAGCTAAAAGTAATGACTAAATGTAGAAATAGTTAGCTAAAAGTAATGACTAAATGTAGAAATAGTTAGCGAAAAGTAACGGCTTAAAGGTGGGGTAGGTAAGTTTGAGAAACCGGCTCGAGATACACTTTTTGTTATATTCCATGGAATGCTCTTAACATCCCGATAGCAATGAATATCTTAAGAGCTTTGCCAAAAAATCCATAAAAAAATGTCATCTGTGGAAGCCGTAGTACTGTAAAAAGCACGACCCATCATTTTAGCCGGCCCGGCTAAAATGATTGGATGGCCTACCTGCCTGTCAGCCTTCCATCTGTGCACAAACTTATCCCGTGCCCTCATTGATCATGTGCGCGTTTATGTGTGTTGGAGGAGGGGCTCTGTAAGGAAGTGGCAGATTTTTTCCGGCTGTGTATTTTCAAATTCTAGCGCACTCGAGCTGGTTTCTCCAAAATTATCTACCCCACCTTTAATGGTTGTTATAGTTAGCTAAAAGTGAAGGCTACATGTAGAAATAGTGAGCTAAAAGTAATGGCTAAATGGTTGAAATAGTGAGCTAAATGTAATGGCTAAATGTTTAAATAGTTTGCTAAAAGTAATGGCTAAATGGTTGAAATAGTTAGCTAAAAGTAATGGCTAAATGGTTGAAATAGTTAGCTAAAAGTAATGGCTAAATGGTTGAAATAGTTTGCTAAAAGTAATGGCTAAATGGTTGAAATAGTGAGCTAAATGTAATGGCCAAATGGTTGAAATAGTTAGCTAAAAGTAATGGCTAAATGTTGAAATAGTTTGCTAAAAGTAATGGCTAAATGGTTGAAATAGTTAGCTAAAAGTAATGGCTAAATGGTTGAAATAGTGAGCTAAATGTAATGGCCAAATGGTTAAAATAGTTAGCTAAAAGTAATGGCTAAATGGTTGAAATAGTTAGCTAAAAGTAATGGCTAAATGGTTGAAATAGTTAGCTAAAAGTAATGGCTAAATGGTTAAAATAGTTAGCTCAAAGGATGTTAAGGGTTGAAATAGTCAGCCAGAAGTAATGGATTTAAAAGAAAAAGCAATGTACTCATTGTTGAAAGTAAGCTTAAAGTAGCCGAATAGAAACTAACTAAAAGTAATGTCTAATTGACTGAAATCGAAGGATCCAATAATGGAGTTGGTTGAAACATTAAGCCATTGCACTCCATGAACAAATTCATATTTATCGACAGCTAGAAATAGTACAGCTGCGTTAAATGTGCAGCATTAACCATGTGTTTAAAACTGTGATGCGTTTTAACCGGTTTTAACTCGTCTTTTATCAACAATTTCCAAAACATTTCTCCTTTATAGGCTATTACTTTTTTTTCTTTTTTTTACTCTAATTGTAGTTTTATCCTTTGTTCAACAATGTTTAATGTTAATAATGAGCTTGATTTTGACCATGTGGACCCCCCACCACTCTCCAGTGTGAACAATCCTTCAGGGAGTCTAGGTCCAGGTAAATCACGGGCGAAGTGTGTACTTGCTGGGTTGCTGCCCAGAGGCTGTGGGGCGACTGTGTTGTCCCGGAGCAGGCCAACATCAAAGCCCTTGATCCAGAAGAGCCTGAGGCTACCAACAGCCGACAGCTCTGATTGTCAGCGGAGATTCAAAAATATTTTGTGCGAGAGAACACAGTGATTTCTCACAAAGTTACATGCAAATATAAGCTCAAATAAGAAAATGTGTGGCGACACATCTTACCCATATATGAAAGTGGCCTTCAAACTAAGCGGTAAATTAGGGACATACACCCTCAAATCTATGTTTTTGGCGACAACTGATAATGGTTATATTATAGGCTTATACATTTTAAGCGGAGGTTTAATGACAATTATAGTCATTCTTGAAATGCACTGCACTAGCTGCACCAGCCAAAGTTTGAGGGTGAAGCGTTATATTTAAAACAAATTGAGCCAGAAACCAACAAACTAACCAGTCCTTCTGCCAGTGTTGAAACGGCTTCCTGCTGCTTTGCACTTTGCTCACTTGCAATATTTTATGTTGGTAACTAGTTAAACATCATGTTCCCAATAAGTTCCCTCCATGCCATCTCCTATGCTTGACACAGAAATTCTGGGTGTAGTAATAAATGTGTTAAAGGTCCCATGTCATGGCCATTTCTACTGATTTCCGGCTCTGCGACACAGCGAGAACAAGCGAAACTCATCCTGAGAACACACAAACACTCACAGCCGAAGTAAAAACAATAAGTGAGGCTTGATATTGAGTAAGAAAAAGGTTTATAACGCTGTGAGAATGGGTCTGCGGAGAGCATTTCTGCGCGATCCCAACTCGTCTATTACCAACGTTCAGGGAGCTCTATGCAAGTCAATGGGGACTCCCTGTTAGTTAGCCAAGGGATCCTGGTGTGTGAGGTGCTCCGCGGACTGGTCCAAAATGACACACACACACACACACACACACACACACACACACACACACACACACACACACACACACACACACACACACACACACACACACACACACACACACACACACACACACACACACACACACACACACACACACACACACACACACACACACACACACACACACACACACACACACACACACACACACACACACACACACACACACACACACACACACACACACACACACACACACACACACACACACACACACACACATTATAACAAGTCTTTTGAGACCTATCAGCCGCTGTTTTTGTGGCCCATCAGAATGCATGTGCCACATCACATTAGTCCCCACGTGTGAACTGTGATTTTACTTGGTAATTTTGAAGCGTCTCACTGCCTATACATATTCATGCTGGGCCTATAAGTGTCAAATTGAGATGTCCTTGCAGTGTCCTTGACAGCGAGTTATTAATATTGAATACCTAAGTCAACATTAACTAGATGAAGAGCTATACAGGTCATCGTCTGCCACATTCCCCACCCTCTGTCCTGGGAACAATTGGAGAAATCATCAAATTGTTTTAGATCTGTGTAAGATAGCATGTGTATCAGGTCAATTATGGAATACTTTCATGTGCGCTATAATTATACAGCACAACAATTATGGAATTCCTATTGTATTTCACGTGAGCAGTTTTCCACTTGTTTTACTCATTTAGGAGGCTGCTGACTGGGAGCCCACGCGCTCCGACTTAAAAGCCATAAATCCCAGGGTATTACTCTGAACGCAAACATCTTAACTATTCCAATTCTCCAATCCCTAAATTGGTGCGGCTGTTGTTGCTTGTGGCTGCTTTTTAAAACCCTCCTCCTGCTCCTGAGCGGTGTGCAGCCCGGTACCGGAGCTTTGTCTGGCTGCTGTGCTTGATAGGATGCTGGCTGCAGGCGTCTCGTCGCAGCAGCTGAGATGAGGTCGCTGAGGTCCTCCCGCTTGTGGCGACGCCCAAGGGCCATCAACACAGCGGGGAGCCCGGGTGCCGGTGAGGTCTCGCACAGCCTCGCCTCGCTTCATGAAAGCCTAATGAAGAGAGGGGGGCTTGGAAACGGTGTTGTTAGACGCCCACAATCCTGCAGCACGGGAGCATGGAGAGGATCAAAACAGCGTGCAGGAGAATTCAAAGAGAGAGCAGAGACACAGAGGCAGGAAATACACCCAAACTTTGCATTTATTGCTGTCCGAAATGAGAAACAAAGTCTTCATCTGTGATTGTCGTTAATAAATAAAGTTGCGTGTGTACAGATCTGGCCCCATCCCACTCAGAAGCAAAGAGTAAAATACAACAGAGTACAATCATCCTTTATGTAGATTGAATGAAACACTAAATGTAAGGACTCATCTTTGCATGTAAAAATAAGTCCATAATGTCACGTTAAAGTAAAATCAGTCAGTCAATGCTGTACACAATAGCCATTTATCCATTTTCAAAAAAGGTAAATGAAAGAAACAAAAAGGATATGATGCAGAATAGTTGCTACTAATCAATGTTGCTGTATGGTACGGTGGCCCTGATGGTCGAAACACAACATTTTCAAAGATAAACATTTTTGAAAACACGAGATTTAAAAAAACACAGCAGCAATGGAGAAAAACAACAACATTTCCTATAACCGAAACATGTAGGCACGTATTGGACATGGATTCCTCAAAAAGTTACAAAAAAGCGTTAACTCTTCAGCAAACGTAATCAAATAGCCACCACTGGGCATTATGGGATATGTGGGCCAGTCTTTGCCCTAAATAAGAAGTATCCTCCTTTGCTTAGATTTAGACTGACAGACGCATCTAATCAGCAAAGAGGAATCCATTTCAAAGACCTACCTCCCTTTTCCCGTTTGTGTTAATGTTGTTGGGTTTTCTGAATTGTGGTTGTGTTTTGTAAAATGTTTTGTAAAATGTTGTTATTGACTTTCAGGGCCAGCGTAATATGTACATAAGAAAGCCTTAATCATTTTAGCTGGAAATTCTTCATATTCTTTTAAACCACAAATACCATGTACTTCAAAATATAACCATTTTCCAAGAACATTTCTTATGATGACTTGTAACCCATAAAAAGTAACCCATAATTAAATGTTACTTTCATTTCAGCAACAGCAACTTCACCATTAGGTGATTATTCCATTTTGGAAGTCAGCACATTTTCAGTGTAAATAACATAAAAATATCGAACAAATGTTACACACCCAGCACATACATTCAATATAATACAAACTGATATTTCTGCTGGTTTCAGGAAAACATAACCTGGGGCCATGAAACATATAAAATAAAGCAGCTTCTGATTATCTAAAAGAAAAAAACTGTACATACAATCTTTGGAAATTAAATAACAAATGTCTCCTCCGTCATCGCTGCGGGGTCCTCAAAAGGACTTCTTTGGTTGAAGGGTCTGTTTGGCGCGCCGTGTATCACCACATCTGATTTAGATTCAAACCTACCACACACCCAGAGACATGCAGGTCCTCTGGGAACGGTTTTTGAGGAGGAATTACAAGAGTTTCTTCTTCCTGCTGCCTCTCCTCTCACTGTACTGAACCTGCAGGGAATACGAACATGAGTCACTGTAAAACCAGAGCAACTTAAGTGTTGTTCTTATTTTTTATAACAATAATCATTTATTTCTCTCCATCTTGTAGAGCTTTTATTCATTGCAAAACAGATAACATTTTCAATAGAGTTTGCAGACTTATGACGTATTTTTGTAGGCCGATTCAGAAGTTAGCATCTCAAGGGCACAATTGATAAAAGTCTAATGGTATTTTTCCATTGGATTTTGGAATAGCCTATTGGAGAAAAAGGATCTGAGAAACACACGTTTATGATACTAACTCGTTTTTTTACGAAGGATCGTCTTCACATAGTACAACCCAGTCTCACGGCATTTCGTGTTATTAGTCACGTGTTTTTTTCGTGTCACACAGAACGATTTTAAATGCAATGTATTTCTATTGGTAGTATGTTTCGTGCCTGCAACACGTCTTTTTGTCCGGTCGGGTCTTGGAAGACCAGAAGCTGTGTGGTTCATAAAAACATGTTCTTACTCAATATCTTACCCTAAGCCTAACCCTATCCCTTTTATTTGAAATTGTATAATGTCTGAGATTTTTGCCGTCAGTGAGGAAAAGAAATGGGGCTCAGAGCCTCAGAATACTGAAATCTGTATTTTATGTCATCTTTTTTTCCTTCTAATTTGTTATTATTTGGTGCAGGCACGAAACATACTACCAATATAAATACATTGCTTCTAAAATCGTTCTGTGTCAGAATACTTAAATCTGTATTTTTTGAAATATGTTTTTCCTTTTAATTTGTTATTATTTACATTGCTTTTAAAATAGTTCTGTGTGACACGAAAAAAATGGCGAAATCGTGTTGGTGAACACGAATCAATAGATTAATTTCGTGACTATAACACGAAATGCCGTGAGACTGTGTTGCATAGTAACACCACTTTATGATTTTTTTTAAAGCATAAATGCAATCAGCAGAACCAAAAAGCTCATGTAAGGCTATAAACAGACTACCACTGCTACGCTAAAGGCAGCTAATGTTAGGCTATAAACAAACTACCACTGCTAAGCTAAAGGCAGCTAATGTTAGGCTATAAACAAACTACCACTGCTAAGCTAAAGGCAGCTAATGTTAGGCTATAAACAAACTCCACTGCTAAGCTAAAGGCAGCTAATGTTAGGCTATAAACAAACTACCACTTTTAAGCTAAAGGCAGCTAATGTTAGGCTATAAACAAACTCCACTGCTAAGCTAAAGGCAGCTAATGTTAGGCTATAAACAAACTACCACTGCTAAGCTAAAGGCAGCTAATGTTAGGCTATACACAAACTCCACTGCTAAGCTAAAGGCAGCTAATGTTAGGCTATAAACAAACTCCACTGATAAGCTAAAGGCAGCTAATGTTAGGCTATAAACAAACTACATCACAATGTTAGAACAAAACCTGAACATCTCTTAAGGTAACCACAGATCTTATTTCAGGCATCTAATACGCAAAAAATGAACCGTTGATTTCAAAACAAGGGAATAGAAATGGGTAAAATGCTAACTCATTTTCGGATTTAAGGACTCATTCCTGCACCACGTTATAAGGGAGAACTACCACTACTGAGCAGGATGACCACAGTCATGCATAGACAGAAATAACAGTGGCTGGCCGAGAAGCTAGAGAGAGTCTCCGTCACGAAACCCAGAGGCCCAAGGGCATTCAAGAAGGACAGGGAGGAGGCAAATGGGGTCAAACGACTTAAAGAGAAAAGGATAGACACAGAGAGGATGAGGAGGAGAGACAACAGCGGGTAAAAAGAGAAAAGAAAGAAAGGAAAGCGGATACAAGAAGGGAGAATGCCAACAGATTTTTTGTAAATGTCTCATACTTTAAATTGGCCTTAGACAACTTTTCAACATACCACGACTAGTGTTTCCATATGGTTTTATTGTTGGCACTGCTGTTGAAATGTGAAATCAAGCTTAAAAGGGATTTTTAATTGTTGGAGTGTTGGAATGTCACAAGAACATTGTTTTGAGTGATTTACTCAAGCACTTTTTTGTCATGCTTTGTATTCCATTTGATGCTACTTTATACTTCTACTGTTTTATATTTCAAATATTATTAATTATACATTTATTTTTAATTCAGTTACTATTAACACAAAAATGCATGCTATGCTGATATGATGCAGTATTGTAGTACTAGTCAATAGTATTCAACTTAAATTGGATCAGTGTTGACAAACAACATAGAAATGCTCTTACATGTATTTGTTAGAAATAAATAGAATCATATCTCTAATATGAGTCAGAGGAAGAGTCAATCTGCATACTGATAATACTTCCGTACAAAACACATTTTGAACTCAGAACGTTTAGACTCTAGAATGTTTAGTTTGACTTAAGTAAGGGATCAGAGTACTTATTCCACTATGGCACATTACTAATGATTATAAATACAATTATAATAATACAAAAATACATATCTTTACTATATATATAATATTTGGGAAGGCACAAATACTGCTGCAATATTTTATATAGTGTTATTGGACTCTTCCTACCGCCCAGCCGTGGGTGTATGCGAGTTGGAGGAGATATCTATATTCTGCTCCTGCTGAGGGGGGGAGGGGGGGGGGGGGGGAGTTCATACAGGAGGCAGCCTGGGAACAGCTTGCCCTGCAAAGCAGCTAAAGCAGCAGACCTCCACCAGGGATGTATCACCACCAAAAACACAACAGAAATTATACGGGGCTACATAATTATACAGATGAAGCTAATTATACAGACAAGGGGGAAGAATGCCTGGGAGTTGTTTTAGCGCGAGGCACAGCGTAGCGGGGCTCGGGGATTTTGGGCTTCCTGGCCGGCTTACCTTCTGCACATCTGAAGGCACCCTCGACAGGAAATCAACCACTTCATTGTTGGCGACGCTGTACGGGTTCCGTAATTTCTTGGTGAATTTATTGATGCCTAAAACAGAAATTCACACCCAACGTATCATTAACGCTAGTCTCTTGTGGCTGCGCTCTTTGTTTCCACACAAACAAATACCTGCAGAGGAGGCTCACGCCGTCCGAGAAATATTACTGCTGCAACCTTTATTCTTCTTTTACTTTAACTTCTTAGGCTGTAATACTTTTAACACCATTAAGATCTGCCTTAACTCATTCAGTACATTATAAGCAGCTAATATTAAGGAGATAATGGGGAAGGGACTCAACAGCCAGAACATATAAGGAGCAAATATTCCTGGGATGCTATACATCTTATAGACAATCAAAACATGATAAAGGACATATTTGACTTTAAATAATGGCCAACAGACAGATCAACACACAACTTAATAAACTGTGTTTGACACTCACCCCATATTAGAACCACGTATCGAACAGGGACGTAGTACGTGAGGATTGTTGCAGTGACAAAAATGAGGATAGCCAGGCCGGACAGGAATGGCACCGACCAGTTGAAAGTGCTAAAAAGATAAATCATCAGTAAGTATTCCAACTTCATTTCATCTTTGTCTGTAAAATACAGTACTTGTTGTAATAAAAACATGTGGCTGTGGCCCCTCTAATGCAGACTCTATACAGGAGAAGCTTTTAATCCATTTCATATTGTGATTCAAGACATTTGAGCTGAAAGCAAATACAGATAATGAGCTGTGATTCATGGTGGTTTGGTAAATTCTTACTTTTTAATCCTCTCCCCAAAGTTAGCGATCTCATCCAGCAGGGTTTGAACGGTGAGGATGGTGTCTTGGATCATGTGGATTTTCTCCATCAGCCCTTTTCTCTCCGACTCCTACAGTTAAACCAAAAAGGATCAGAAGTTTATAAACGGTGTATAACGGGAAGGGTGTGTTTACTGCTCTTATTTGCTGTTTTAGTTGTATTATCGGGGAATCTATTGATTAACCGTTTACACTGCCCTTGTATACAAGATGTGGTATCACATACATATTTTAGGAACATTAATATATGAAAACAATAATTCAATATAAGTAAAACATTTGAAGTAGATACAAGTACAATTTTGCGCTCCTTGTACTTAACTTGGGATTTTTTTTAATTTAATGCTACTTTGTACTTCTACCCAACTACATTAATGTACTACCTTCATTTTGTTAATTACTTTACAGATATGGAATAATAATTAAAAAAACATGATCAAAACTTAAATAGGACTTTAGTTACACCTGGATTAGATTCACAAGCTACCCTGCTGTATACAAAGTCATTAGATTGAGTTCCACAGTTACATCTTGATTAACACGTCATTAATACATTAATAACTATCATAGAAACATAGTATATTTGATTCTAAAATTGGCATATTAAGTGTTATTACTTTTGGTACTTTAAGTATATTTGTCTCAGAGAAAGACACCGAACAGTCACCGGTGTCTGCAGAATGTAAAGGCAGATTCTCTAACAGCTTCACTGGCTGTGAATTGAATGCTCTTCAGAGTGGGACTGGACTCCACATTTTGAAAGAGAAGAGGCACCGTTCTCAGGCTCGTCCAGATCCCAGGAGGGAGGATGGCTTTAGAGTAAACAGGAGGAGACTCGGTGTCTAAAGTCTGGCTCTCAGTGCACAGATCTGTAGAGACACGGCTACATGTCCACATCAAACATGGGGAGACTGAAGGAGGGTTAGAGGATGAAGAGAGGGGAGGCTGGGGTCTGCGGGTGCTGGTTATCGGGGGACTGTTTACTGGCCAAAGCCATGGTCTTTGTCACTATGTGATCTCTGTGATGTCCGTTCGCGTCTGCTCAGAGACACGGAGGGGTCGCTGGCTCCATGCCACTCAGAGGCTGGGGACGGGCCTGGGAAAGGAGCTGCGGAGGGGATCAAACCTGGAATATTCATGGTGACTATCAGTCTCTGTAAGACGAATAGTCAAATATCAATCAACCCCCTCACTGCCCTGAACTACTTCAACCAGTTCAGGGTCATGTTCCCACTGAAGACAGTTTGAGAACCACTTTACGCCAGACCATTCAAAACGTCTAGAGTAAAATAAAGGAATATTTTATTGACTAAAAAGCATTGTTATACTATACACCAGCTTTCCAATGAGCTTTGAAAAAGCATGTCTAAGTGCTGTCATTAGTTCCATATTGATGGTATTATATGGCGTGTTAAGCTCAGGGACTTTCCCAAATGCAGCAGAACCTCCCCCCCGCCCACCTCTCTATTAGCATATGAATGTGTCGTGACATGTGGAAACGGGTCGGTGAGGTCTTCATTAAGCCCGAACGTCTTTTTAAAATATTGTGGTTGTCGGGAATCAAAATGCATCTGAAGATTTAGTACTGAATGAAGAGCCCAAAATCATAGATCATAGGAATTTGTCCAAATAAACTTCCTTTCTTTTCATCAGAAAATACAGATGCTTAAATTTAAATTACTGCAAACAAAAGAAACACAGGTACATACCTTCTCATCATCCTCTTCATCATCGCCCACATCCATATTGTCCTAAAAATGAAACAGCAGCTGTATTATAAAGCTGAGGATCTTTTCTACATTATGAACTTAGTCTCATGTTGACGCTGGGACTCTGCATTAACTCCAGTGTGCTGGTGGGGTCGTCCTGTGACAGAGTGCAGGGGTCAGCCTCACAAACACTCTGCAGGACAGCTGACTGACAGCAGGCCGTGTTGGTCTTTGTTCACAACGCACCACAGCAACCGAAGGTGAGACAAATCACACGTCTATACCAGAACATGATACATCAATATCTTTATGTTATCTGACAAAAGGGGAAAAGACGTTCCGATAGAGAAGTCCAGAATTGACGATAAAGACATCTGAATATTCTCTGACATTAGAATGTGTATTCGTTTAAAAAAAAAAAAAATGTTCATGCAATAAAGATGATTTATAAAATCATGTAATATATCGTTTTTGCATATTTTTTTGTAAACTTGGGACATATACTTGTACAGTATTGAAATGTAATCTTTTCTTAGATACTATCAACATTTCAAGGATTAAATCCGTAAAGCTAAAGTTAGAGGTATTTCTCTGAATAAAAACCCCTTTTCTGGCTCAGTAAATAATATGTTTTTATATCTTCAAGTTCCCCTATTGCCATCGTATGATTATTCGCATATGAATGAAATGCTCAAACTGACTGGCTCTATTGTGATTGGTCAACCGCTCTGATATGTTGGAGCGCTAGCCAATAGAAGCATGTGTGTTCCATAATGATGTCACTATGTTATGGAAGTAATCAAAGTAGTCCAATGGAGGTGTTTCAGGCAGGGGGTGGGTGGGGAGTGTGTATGAGAAAAACACAGGGATTTAAGCCTTTGCAGAAAATTGCACCGATCCCTATATATCACACTACAGGAAAGGGACAACTCAAGAAAGCATTTGAGGGCCTCTTTAACAGTGAAATGAAGCACATTGTTGTCTGAACTGCACAGTGTGTGTTATTTGCTATAACCTATGGTGTACTGCTTCTACACACTGAGCACATACAAGATGCTACGTCCTTTTTTCTTTGTAAAACGGAGAGTGGTCACAGTGGGGGGAAAAACACTGAGCTGAGACCTTTTACAGAGCAGAGGCATAAAAACGTAGTCTCAACGAGAAGAGGGCAACAGACCAATTACAGTGAAGACGAGGAAGGATTCAGGACAATAACTAGAGGCGGACTGGGAAAAGAAGAAAGCTGTGTACTGCAAATTAGCTTAGGCTATAATGATATGTTGCATTAGTCTATTCAGCGAGGTTTCTCTGTATTATGTGTTATTTTATTATTATGTAGCTAGGTGCAGCTGGTTGCTATGGAAACACAGCAGCTTTTTAATTTTGAGAGAAAAATGTGTTTGAGGTGGTCGTTTTTCAACAATAAATGAAGTGTGAACAGGAAGCAGTAGGTCACTGCAGAGGGAGAGGAAGAACAACAAGGACAAGTCCTACGAAGCCACTCCAGATTCACCACGTCCTGAGTCTTTGTAACTTATAGAGAAATAGGTTATTAAATGTGAACAGGAACCAACAGGTCCAGAAGACAAAGACAACGAAGAGGATAGAGGAGAAGATAAAGACATAGAAGAATAAGAAAAGACAAAGTAGAAGATGACACAGACGACAAAGAAGAACAAGATGAATGATAGGAAGAAAACAAAGGAGACACAGACATAGAAGAACAAGGCAGAAACAGAAGAAGGCTTACAAAGCTGCGCAGGATTCACCACGTCCTGGGTTTTTGTATTAAAAGAAAATACATATATATATATATATATATATATATATATATATGTATATATGTATGAACAGGAACCAGCAAGTCACGAAGAAAAAGAAAACAACGAAGAACCAGACTAAGATGAAGAAGACATAGACAAAGAAGAAGATCAATAAGAAGACTAAGAAGAAGACGAATGAGAAGAAGACATAGAAAAAGAAAGAGAAGAAGAAAAGAAGAAGACGAAGACTAACGAAGTTGCTACAGCCTCATTACTGCCTGTGTGAACAGGACCAGATGCCCACCTCGTCCTGAGCGACCCGCCCGGAGCGGATCTGGATGTAGTTCCAGGCGATGAGCAGCACCAGGAAGAGGGGCAGCATGTAGAACTCCCAGTTCCACACCGTCACCAGAAACACCTGCAGGCAGAGGTCACACATGAGTGGGGTCACGCTCCAGAGGGGGTCTGGAGTATGAAACAAACTCTTCATTAAATCCCAAAGACATTTTCCATAGTTCCTGAATCCCCCGCTAGCTAAAGGTTGATCCAATCTGCTATTGATTTAATTAGCAATGGTCAAGCTGATGAAGGCTACCCCACCAATATCAAAGCCTTGTTCCTACGTTCAGTTGTTCTGCATACGCTGTGCGGGGCGACCACTGCGACCCCCCCTCACCCCCCCTATATACATTGACATTAAGTCTAATTGATCCACGTCTCTCATCCTGTGTACATTAAAGACGACCCCGCGGCCCACCGGAGCCACAGGGAGTCCGTGTGTGAATACGTTATTAAGATTTAAAATGCCACTCGTGATGGACATCAGGTTAAAAAAATGGATTAGGGGATAAAGAGTGTGATGTCTCGATTGCGGGGCTAAATGGGAACGATGAAATAATCCCGTCGGAGAGAGGCAGCGCCAGCCAGCATGGCAGCGTGCCACAAGGCGTGGGGAAAGGGTTTACAGGTTGGTGATATGCTAATAAAAATAGAATTGAACATCTGGTAAAGACATCACTCTCCTCTGAGGCACCAACTGACATAAAAGATGGCATTTTCAAAGCCCCCCAACACCCCCACCATCAGCTTTAATGTGCAATGAGCCAAGCATGCTCTTGTCTGTTATCACAAGCCAAGAACAGGGCCTGGGACAGCAGATGAAACCAACTCCTGACTGAAAGGGTTCTGTTTTATTAGAGAGGACTTTGTGATGATGGGAGAGCCGGGGGTGAGGGGGAAAGCCAAGTCACGCTTTGGTGGAAATGTATACCCAGCCCATAAAGATTGTCATAATTGCAGCGCATTTCAGCTTGAGAGGCATTACACAGTCTTCGACAGCGAAAAGGGGCTCTGGAAATGTGATCCAGATCGGAGAGAAGAAAAAAAAAAAAAATCAAAGGCTACCCTAAAGTCAGGAGCTACCGGACTGGAGGGTAGCACATTTTCAGATTGTAGCAGGATTTCCACGCTAATGCTCGGGGAAGGGTTTGCATGGCACGGCGGTAATCCAAGAACATAACACAAAATAACTGACACTATTGTTTAAAGTAGGGACAATATAACTTCTCCTTCTCCTGATGATTAGTACTGTATGAATAATTCTCGAGGAGGATGCTAAAAGCGCCATACAGTAAGTGAACCAGAATATATACACTGCTGGTCATACCAGACCAAGGAAGGCTTTAGCAAGGGTATTTATTTGATCAATGCTCTTGCTCCAATATTTTTAAGGACCGGACATCGAATATATCGCGTTAAACCAACTTTAAAATATGCTGATTCACATGTTTAATATAAACGTTGTCATTAGATCCTGTTGCTGTAAACTGTCATCATCAGTGTACCTGGTGCAAAAAGAGTGCATATTGAAAATAGAGTTGAATAATGATATACTCAGTAGTTATGTTTACAAAAAAGCTTATTTACACACATTATGTTAGGTGTGTGCATACTAGGATATAAACAAGAGCTGGTAAAGACACATCTCTTAGATCAGCAAAATTGACCAATAGGATTATCGCTTATTTTATTGTGCTAATGGGTGTTTATTACCTTATCCTGAAGGGATAGTAAACAATGTAAATATGGAATTCAACCTAACAAATTGTGTATGATGACGTTGCCCATGGGTGACTATTTTGTCTGGGTTTGGGTGGATATTCAAATGTCACATCAAACTGCAAGTCACACCACCCTTAAGAAAATTAACTAATTAGGAAACAACAGCATGTGATCTATAAAAGTTGGAGGCTTCTCACTAGGATAACTTGCACATTTTAAAGTATACCGACTACACCTTGGTAAACTACACTGACTGTCTTCACACATATCTGACAATGGGCAGATGTTGCAGGTGGTTCTATCCTGTCATGCCGAGTAAAGCTTTGATTCATTTCTCTCATGTGGCGGTATTAAGTGGGCATTTATTTCTTCTCACTGAGGCTTGAAATGGCAGGGAGCGCTGGTGTGAAAACACAAGTACAGATGGTACCGTCTTTCAAACAGTGGGAGGATGTGTGTGTGTGTGTGTGTGTGTGTGTGTGTGTGTGTGTGTGTGTGTGTGTGTGTGTGTGTGTGTGTGTGTGTGTGTGTGCTCGTTCATGCTTGTATGATTTGAGCTTGAGTGTGTGTGATCTGTCAGGCAAAACAACAATATTACACATCATTATAAACTCTTTTATTAATTAATTAATTTAGAGAAGGGGATTGGGAATTCTGTTTAATTTGAGATAACTATGTATTAGAAATATTTTCACTGTGAGCTAAGAGGTCCCATTTTTAAGTGATCCTCAACTAAAGTACAAAATAAAAAGCATGGCTCAAACCCCAGCTACTGTTCAGATAACAGCTCTGTGCGGCAGCTCCCGTTTTTCACAGCAAATTGGACAAACTGTACTCTTGGCTGGCGTACAATATCCATCGCCTTTACAAAACTTCAGTGCCATCTACAGGAAGACTGCGGCAAGAATAAAAAGAACTTTACATGAACCTGATTTCCTGCATAGTTAATGCACAACTTGCTGTATGCCTTTTCAATTGAACTAGATTTGAGAGAGAAATAATGTCAAAACGACCAGCACCCTATCCACTTTACGGTTTAAAAGGCAAGGGCCTGTGTTTCTGTCTTTGCACTTGTTTAACACTTATATTGAACAATGGGAGGAGGAGAAGAAGCCTTATCTCTAAAAGAGGCTTTTAATTGGACTCCTGTCTGCATAATGGGAACTAAATCAAACCGAGCGTAGATTGGACGGAGGGTTAATGAGTTGTCAGGGAAGTAGAACAAAAATAGACTGTCTCGACTCCACTGGGACGCTACTCTCTCCAGCTGAGGCTTAACTCTGCATCCATGAGACGCACGGCGCTGAGAGCGTACACTCCGACGCAGAGAAGGGGCCCGAGCCTTTCCATTTTATGCTGAGCCCGACACCGCATTGATTAAGAATCTCGCTGGGAGGGTTCAAGTAGGGGATAGCCGGGCTGCGGTTGTGTTTTTTCCGCAGCTCGGAGGGAAAACAGAGGGAAATGCAGATAGTTTGATAAGTGAGTTAAAGCACGTCACCAGGAAGGCTAGCAGGCTCCTCTGAACGCTCTCCCATTGGAAGCAGCTTTTGATGTAGTGCAGAGTCGACATGATGGCCCTGTACAGCATCTGAACGCGCATCACGTTCCTGGCCAGAACCTGAAAGAGACACGACATGAACATGCAAAACAAGTAAATCCAGCAGTTTACAAAATGGATAAAATATATGTTTCATAAAGTAGAGGTCTGATTTAGTGTTGATACTAACGTCCAGTCGGCTAGTGTGATAGTGACAGCAGCCTGGCATTAGGGTTGGGGATTACATGCACCGGAATTTAGCAATAAGGATACAAAAAAGGTAACAGTCTTCCATTATAGGGTTACTTGCATAATTACTATAGAACAATACATTTTAAAATTAAGAATGATATATTAGGTAACACATTTAAACACTTCACAAGTCTCAAGACACTGAGCTAGCTACAGTATAGCTCAGATTTTATTTCTGCCTTTTTAAACTGTAGTCTGTGCTCATGTGTTTCATTGTTGGTGTATAGGCTGTTGCCTAAATATGCTTAATAAAGGTTTCCCTATACATAAAATCTCTGAGCAGAGGATACATTTTTTGTTAAAGCCATCTTATTGATATTCCCTTTCTCTTGTATTTATTGCCATTGCATTTGATTTTTAATGGTAAGTAATTCAGTTAAATTACTTTTATATTGTAACACTTATAACTAGATTGGGTTACTTATTAAAAAAAAAGGTTTTAAGGTAATTAGTAATTGTAACAGAATACATTTTTCCAAAGAACCTCCTAACCCTGCCTGGCATCATCGTGGTCAGGGGGGTTAAAAATGTCAGCAATCTGACCTGATTGCGTCAAGCAAGACTTTCAACATTAAAACAGAAGGAAGCCCCGCACATTACCATCGGAGTCCTCTGTGCGTAAGCCAATTTTGGCGTTGGCGAACGATGTATTGTCTGACAACAATGAGTCTTTGTGGGAAGTACAGACAGTCAGGCACCCTGTCTTGCACACTGTATATCAAACTAATGTAGCAGGACACTGGACACAAACTCAGTCACAGTTGGGGTCAATTAAAGCTCAATTCAACCAATTCAGGCGAAGCGAAGTTGCCATCGTAGCTTTTTAGGGGAAACAACTGACATTTCTAACTTGTTCAATTCATACACAACCTTTTTAGGTCCAGGGCCATTTGAAAATAAATGTGGTAACATTTTAAAAGCTTGTCTTTCACATTTTCTTTGTTATTTTTTGAACTTTCAATTATCCAAGCATCACATGGATATTGTCAAAAGTGCAGTGACCTCTGACCCTTGCCCTCTTTACTGATGCCTGCTAGTAACCTTTGGTGAGTGTTTAGGGCTGCGACCATTATCGATGAATCTGCTCAGTCTTTTTGTTGATAAATGATTAATCGATTGGTTGATAAGATATCGATTTTTGATACATTTAAACTTTTCTCAAATGTCTTCATATCTTTCATCTTGAGATGCCTTTGTTTTGTCCTACCAACCCAACCCAAAAATAATCAATTTACTAACATAAGAGAAAGAAAAGCAGCAAATATGATGATTCATTTTCTGTCAAGCAACTAATTGATTTATAGACGAATGGATTTAGCACTAAAGAAGTTGAAAGGTATTTTATCCTTCATATGTTTGCGAATGCTGCTTTAAAAAGAAAAAAACACTTAAAGTAAAATACATAATTCTCCTCCACTAGGGGGCTCTCAGTGACCAAAGATGGAGTTTGGTGGTGTAGTGAAGTAGCATGGGGTCATGGGAGTTGTTGTCTTAACCACAATTGCAGTCATCATCTGGTGCATAGAGTGCTAATGTTTGCTTGGCTCATTTAGCTTAAAACTTAAGACCGAGACGTACAATGATCTAAATCTTTACTCAGGTTAACGTATATAGTTAAAAAACACCTTAATCTAAAGTCGTATCATAAAATGTAGATACAATTAATGTTCGCCACAACGCTAAGAGGATACGTAGCAATAACATGTGAGCAAAGAAAATGCGTTACTGTGATTCCAATTACAGATATCTACAGGATTGAACCTTTTCTGAAAAGAGATAAGAGGACTACAGTAGTTGACATTTTAATGCTTAAATGTCACCTGTAAAAACTTCAAAATCTAAATTTATGTTACAAGAATTATGATTCCAGACCCCTGTATTATAGAGTAAATCCTCAGAACTGTTTCAAACCTTTTTGGAAAACTTGGAATTGTCCTCCAGGAATCTTCTCTCCCTTGGATTGAAGGTTCTTATACTCGCTCTGACCTGATAAAAAGAAAAGAAAAAGACATGAAGCGATGACAAGCGGACAGAATCAGGCCCATGTTTCACAGCCATCACTGCAGGCTGAACTTTTACTCACAGGGTTAAAAATAACGTCCACGTCCAGAGTGATGGTGCCCTTTGACAGCCCACCTAAGTCCTCCTTCTTCAGCGGGTAGGTGATCTGCTGTCCCCTGCGGACCTGCAGAGACAGAAAAGGGCATCAGGTGCTGAACTCGTCGCTGCACCTGACCGTCAGTCAAGCTGGATTACATTTTAGCAAGTCTTCAACGCGAGAGAGTGCTATCTCCCTCTTCACTTTAATTTAGACACAGGGTGTAAATAGATGAGTCTATTGTCTGGGTGATGGACTCTCGGGGAGGTAGTGTGTACCGAGAGCAGGGGTATGGCGACTTTTCCCAGGAAGTCTGGCGCCTTGTCTCCATCCTCATCAAAGATAGTCACCACCAGAACCTCATGAATGTCTTTGACAGGGCTGCGGAGACAGAAATATTAGGTCAGATAGTCCACAAAAACAAGCACACTTTTTACGGCCCCGTTTTTCAATCTGTTGTCAAACAGCCTACATGCATTAAGTAGTATTAAAAAGAAAATGTGGCAGGAAAAGGAGAGACCAACTGACATTGTGAAGACTTTATTCCACTCTGGGTGGAGGCTTTTATAGATTGTTTGGGACTGCAGTCTGTCATTCCCCAGCTCCAGCACACAGAAAGGATCACTCTTGCCTGCAGAACAACAAGAAACACATTTTAAACTGGGCTCCCTCTGTCCCTTTAATGCGAAAACAAAGAGAACTCAAATCAAAATGTGTGACTACAGCAGCAACGATAAGTTGATTAACCGATTCGTCTATTGTCAACAAAAACAATCACCAACTTTATTAATAATGGATTAAAAGTTTAAGTATCTCTTCATGCAAAAATGCCTCTCAAATATGGACATTTTCAGTTTAAATTTATTTTATTTTATATCAAATCAAACTGAATATATCTGGGTTTTGGAAAGAGTAAACTGGGATTGCAGTTTTACCATTTTCTGACATTTTATTGACCAAACAGTTCATTGATTAGATTAATGTAACAGGCAGATTAACCGTTGATATACAAAATATGGGATCCTGTGTGTGTGTGTGTGTGTGTGTGTGTGTGTGTGTGTGTGTGTGTGTGTGTGTGTGTGTGTGTGTGTGTGTGTCAAAGTCAAAAGTCAAAGTCAGCTTTATTGTCAAGAATTCTACATGTTGTACATCCAGAAATCTCAAAATATCGTTTCCCGCAGTCCTACAGTGTGACATATATACATCAAACAAAAAAGGCCTAGATAAACATGGTATACATTAAACAAAACAAAGGGCCTAGATAACCGGGGTATACAGTTTAAAATGTTAATAATATATTTAAGTGTGTGTGTGTGTGTGTGTGTGTGTGTGTGTGTGTGTGTGTGTGTGTGTGTGTGTGTGTGGTACCGTTTAAATCAGCAGCCATCAAATCTGCAGCCTTGATCACTTTTATTTGAAGGAAACCAACATCACGGAGGTTTTTCAGGGAATTTTTCAAACTCTGTGGGGACAAATGGAGATGAATGAAAACTAGAAAACACTAGTTTGTGCACAGTCCTCTAACTTTGGATTTATCACACAAAACATGAGTCAGGCTCTATTTTATCTCAAAATGTTAGGAATTTTGGAAAATGTATCTTGGAAACAAAAACCAAAATATTTAGTGTAGTAAAACTAATTATATAATAATAATATTAATAATAACAATGATTGTCAAATTTAAATACATATTACATGTACATAAAAACAAAAAAAGTGTATTCTGACTATAAATGTGTTTTTAATAACTATGTTTTTTGCATATAAGAATAACCATAAAACCACAGTATCAGTATATACAGATATTACCCACTGTAAGGGCGTTAAAATATGTTTTTGTGAAGCTGTAGCATTCATGATTTGAGGGACAATCACACAAAAAAAGCAGTGATTTTGCAAGCTTCAGTCTGTTGTTGGAAAATAATAATAAAGTACTTTGACTAAACATTAAGAGACAACTGCACCAGGCACTTTATAAAGGCATGAAGGGATAAGGGAGTTTCTTTTCAGCGGCTGACTTATAAAATCACATATGTCTGTACTTTCCACAAGCTCTTCAACAAACCAACAAGAGACATTCTCAAAAACATTCCTTTCTTTCAAATGCATTGCCACGATGGATGACACATCTCAAGCAAGCTTCTGCAAGTTTATTTTCATAGTTTCATTTTCTGGCATGAACTGAAACCTGCAGCTTGTAGACAAGAACAGGAAAACAGGCTTTTGATGGCTGAATTTAAAATGCAGAATGTGATGGTTTGCTATCTCCTGTAGAGTCCTAAATATGTATTCCCTCCTCCTCTCTGTACATCATCAAGTGCTGTTGAAGCAACTCAACTGAATCTCAAGGTAAAACTACAGAAAGCTGATAAAGAGTACTTTGTTACCAACTCTCAACACATTCCTTGGAAAATACTGCCATCTCTTGGCCCTTTTAACACAGACAGTACCGCAAGAATCCTTGGAACAGTTTAGACTTAAATAACCCCGGCCTGATTCGGATTTGAACCCCTGATTGTTAAATCTAAACATGTTGAATTGCAGATTCCTGGGGCCGAATGAATGCAATATCTTCCACAATGCCTGATTAACCCTCCTGTTGTCTTCGGGTCAAATCTGACCGATGTACTATTTCATCAATCATAACTTTTTTGTTTTACATTCGATTGCATTAAGGCTTTATGATATCCTTCACAGTAGACATTTGAACATATACAATTGCTGATCACCACTTTCATTGAATTTTGGATGATTTAGTCAACTTTGTAACACCCATGGTGTTCCCGGTCAAAAATGACCGCCATAAAGAAAAGGACACACACACACGCACACGCACACGCACACACACACACACACACACACACACCCGCTCTTATGTGCCCATCCCCCCACATGGATCACACCTGGCATACGCAATACATGTTCAGTGTCTGTTCTTTGTATATTTACTGCAGTTGTTCATGTATACCAGTAGTCTGATACAATATGTACAGTTTGAAAGGGTGTTAAATGAAATTTGGTGATGATTAATGGTTTTTGTGTTAAACTAATAGCAGTTAAAACAGGACCGGTCAAATTTGACCGCGAACACCAAAGTAAGGGGGGGAAACGAAGACAATAGGAGGGTTAATGTATACTGTCGTAAAAATGCTCAACGACAGACTGTGTGACCTTTTCCCAACTTATTTCCCCGTACATAAATACAAGACTAGTAAAAAGCATCTTAAACAGGGCAAAGATTTACCAGCAGTGTTGTTTGCAGAGGTATGGAAAGATATTGATATTACAACTATAACAATGTCTTCACCTGTGTCTATTTAAAAAAAGAGATTTATGCAGCTGTTAGAATTTATTATAAAATACCTATTTTTATCCAATGTTTAGTCTAATGAAAAGTACTGTTTTAGAACATTTAGGTTAGATTAGATTAGTTTGATGATATTTGGTTAGCGTAAGGTGATTTTGAGCTTGTAACGTTTTGGTGTTAGGCATAAACTCTCTCCAATTCTAGAAGAGTTAGTTGTATATATTGTAAATACTTTCTGTTAAGTGTTTGGGACCCTATTTTCTTAAACTTTGGATAGTGCATCAGGAAGTCCCCTTATACATGTATTAAAACATGACTTTCATCACTCGTAGCCCTTTTATATTTAGAAAATAGATTCAAAGTGTCAGATATGCAGACACAGGTACTGACGTAGTTGTCCAGCTGGTTCTCTTGTTCGTGGGGTTCATCGAGAGGCGCAGCACACAGGTCAGAGATGGAGACACCGCTGCATGTGTTCAGTGTGAGCAGGAAAACTAAGCGCCCCTTGCCCTGGTCCAGTGTGTGTGTTAACAGCTGTCTCTGATCAAAGGGTACTGTGGACAGGTCAACTTCACACCTGTACACACAAACAAAAATATATACAAATGGAGTTGCAGGTATGCAGTCAAGCGTGGTCACATGCATGCAAAATAGTGTGTAAACACATGCAGGCATAAAAACCAAGAATACACATGTGCAGAGACCATCATTTTAAAAGATCCCTGGAAAACCTGTGCTTAATCATTACGCCTGCCGACATCGTTCCCATTATTCAATGAAACGACGTAGGGCTTCATAGTAAAGCTGCTTATTGGGGCCATTGTAGGAAAATCATTTATACAAATACTGTTCAATAAATAAAGCACTTTTGAACAATAAAGCATGTAAACATGTCACACAATACAAATATGAACCTAAAATTAGCATAATATGCCACACACACACACACACACACACACACACACACACACACACACACACACACACACACACACACACACACACACACACACACACACACACACACACACACACACACACACACACACACACACACACACACACACACACACACACACACACACACACACACACACACACACACACACACACACACACACACACACACACACACACACACACAGTAGGTTATCTTTTTTCAGAATAGGTCAAATTCATGGCAATTTGTCTTATAGCCTAGATGCCTAAGATTATATGGTGATTCTGGCAGAGTATTCCATTATTGCTTAATTGAAATGCAAAGTATAATTTGATTAGGTCATTGTCTGCAGGCATAATACACTGGCAGCTTCTGAATGCAGACTCACGCTCCCAAACACTCCTCACTCCTCCGTCCTTCTTTAGACCAGAGCTCCACCTCCAGGGCGTCCGGACTGTCCACAAACTGGTTCAGAGTGAACCTCTCTCGCCACTGCGGGTTGGACACTCTGCAGTGATTCTGAATTAAAAAAAGAGTTCAGAACAAGAAACATAAAACATATATATTTTTTTGTATTCACATGTAGTAAAACCCTGCGAGTTGCCATTCAAACTCAAATCAGAAATCATTGATTTCCTAATTTCCCTTTTATGATATGATTTAAAGTGCTGTCAAAGTAAATATTATATTTTTCCCTTAGAAAAAGCCTGTAGTTATATAGGTTCATCAGTTTTACCAGATTTTTCTATTGAATGGTGTGTGAATGTTTTAGTTTTGAATCATCTTCAGAAAGCAGCATCAGATTTCCATGGCACATCAAAGCACACGGTAATTACTGTCACTCCGAAAGAAAAGAGCGGAGTGATGCTGCTCATTAGCATGGAGCTTTGATGTGTAAAGGATGATGTTGCAGAATAGCCAGACAATAATCAGCTCAGACATCATCCAGCTGACAGGATGAGCACTGATTAAAGCTTTTCATGTCACTAGCAGAAGTCCATTTCAATTGATTCCATTGCTCAATAATATACATCATCTCTGTGACACTCTGCTAACCGTATTCGTAGGACAACAAGTGAATGTTTAATTTATTTTATACATTAGTATAAACTCTGTTGCATAAAATAGTCAACATTATAATGTAATACGCCATGGTAAACATACCATAATACAAATAAATAAATAAATGTTTAGGGTTTAATGACAATAACCACTTTTCAATTTTTTACCAAACATATTACTATATTAGAAGAAATGTAACAGTTGATCAGTGATGGAAAGTAATTAGTGGACAGTAAAGAACATTTAGCAAAGTACTGTTCTTTGTATAATTAGAGGTACTTTACTCAGGTATTGTAATAGAATGCTACTTTATACTACAACTCCCTTCAGAGGGAAATGTGTACTTCTTACTTCCCTACAATTATCTGTCAGCTTTGGTTACATGCTTCTTAGGAAATTAAGATTTGACAAAAAAACAACAAGGCAATGGTTTGTTATAGATGAAATTATCCAAAACCATATCAATTATTTGAAATGTGCTCCACCTCCATTAGCTGTTACCCTATAATTCTGCTTAAGGATGGGTAATAATATTCAAAAGATATGATATATAAATACTATGCAAACTCTCTGGGAGGGACCAGTCTGCCCAACAAGAATTGTAATTAAATACTTCAGTATGCTTTGCTTGTAATATTATTGTATTAGTGAAATCTTGTATGTAGAACTTTTACTGTAATACTTTAACTTAAGTTAGCTAGGATGAGATGGAAACACGTAAGAGTTCTAACAAGGATAACTATGAACAAAAAGGACTGTACTCATGCACAAAGACATGCATTTTTACAGAGAGGTGTCAGAGTAAAGATGCTCCCAAGTTTAAGGCGGCATGGAGCATTTGGTGGTTTAGTGCCCTGCTCAAGGACACCTCGGCAGTGCCGACCCTCCTGTTCCTGAGCCAAGTCCCTCCAGACTGAGCTACTGCCGCCAAAGGGAGAAGGAGCAGAGGAAAGGGAGTGTGAGGAGAAGAAAAGAGAGGAGGGGGATTTGAGAGAAAAGAGAGGGTTTAAGAGGACAATAGACGAAGACGAGGGGGGTGGAGGAGATGAGAAGTACCTTGCTTTTGAATCTCTGCTCTCCCAGTCTGAAGCGGACAAAGAGCTGACCCCCCTGAGAGTCCAGCGGCATCTCCTGACCCTCCACCAGAGTCACGGACAGCACAGAGGTCCACAGCTGACTCTTCCTCAGAGACTCGGACAGACGGAGGTTCTGAGCAGAGCTCCCCGACTGCAGCGGCAGGTTCAGAGAGAGGAGGTTAGATTACAGAACAAACGACCTTAAGGATATCTAATGGGGCTGCACAATTCAGAGGAACATAACTAATCGTGATTATTTTTGACTGATATTGCAGTTTTAATTAGACTTACGATATTAGAGGGAATCTCATTTTATTATCATAATAAATTAAAATGATGTTAAAATGATTCAAGTTCATATTTGTATTTTGTGCCTCTACTGGGACATGTCTCCATGCTTTAATGATCAAAAAGCTCTTTGTTTTTCTCATACTGCCTGTGCTGCAGCACCCTTTCACCCTCTGTCTGAAAGGAGAGCGCTAGCCAATAGAAGCACGAGTGTTACACAATGAGGTCACTAGGTTAGTATATAAAATAATAATAATAATAATAATAATAATAAATATGGCCCCTTTCAGACCATCTGCACTAAACAAGGATTTATTTTATTTCGTGTGGAAAACTGTTTTTCTGCAGCACTACAATGAATAATCCAGATATTTTTGAAATATTTAGCTTTTAACAAATATTGCTTATATACTGTATACTTAAATCAAATCCAATTAATTTCTATATTTACCATCCTCTTATCTTTTATAACGATGCATGTATCAATAACAAGCAGAGCCGGGGAAGAGAAGGAACACAAACCAGTCCAACAAATAGAATAGATTCTACTTGGGAGAGACTGTTGAATGAGACACTATTTTCTCTATTCTTCAGTGAAAGGAGGATTAAATTGTCCCTTCAGTTCACTGAGAGATTAGGTCAGGCCTGCAGTAGCGTCTCTCTTCCACATATAATAGGCAGCCATGTTCTTGGATAATTAGCTGAGCTTACATGAAGACAGCACTGTAGGGAGATCTATTTAACCAGATTCAAGTCATGCAGATCAGGCTGACAGTGACGGTTCTGCCACATGCAGAAAAATCACATTTCACTTAGCGGACCACACTAAGTGCACCCGGCGGAGTACAATTAGCATGTGGAGTAGCAGGGGGACTGGAACCAGTCATGCAAATAACGGCAAGACAGCAACAATGTGGCTGCAACTCAATCTATGAGCATGCAGACACTAAAGGGGAAGAACAAATGTTGTTAGAATCAATAGCCTTCATTTCTAAGATATTTAATCTATCCAAATCAATGAATAAAACCTTTTTTACTAAAAAAATAATTTAAGTATTGCAAGTGGTGTACACTTATCCTACACACAGAGTCAAAGTTGTGTCTACCATGTTCCCAGTTTTATTTTTTAGTACATTATATTTTTTAAATTGGTAAATCCAATTGAGAAATCTAGTCTTAGCCCAACAATTGTAGTTTTGTAACGGCCACTATTGTAATTTGTATAAATTAAAGGTATTCTTTATTTGTGGAGTCGCTGAGAAATGAGAAAACATAATAATATATATATATATATATATATATATATATATATATATATATATATATATATATATATATATATATATATATATATAGTCTTATACTCACTTTACTTTGCTTTCATGACATAATTTAGTTCACTGTCACTCTGTGAGTTGTTGAATCTAATGAATGCATCTTTACCCAATTTAATTGATATATCTGAGTTTGCTGTTTAAACCTAGTTGATTTAAGTAGGGTTTTCTTAAAATGGATACCTGTTGAAGCCACATATGCTGCTCAATTATCTCCAACGCAACACAGCTGTGTAAATTGCCTGTGGCGCATGCGCAGAGGCTCACATGAGGGATATGATTGTGACGTGGGCTTTTTCGCGGTGAGGAAGGACAGGAGAAGCTGAAGAAGCAATGGCAGAGACCTGAGCGACATCCAAATGAATATGAGTGAGTATGTTTTTCCTATGCAACATTTTAAGTTGGTTTATAAACATGCGGTTAGAATGTGAAATTGAGAGTGTTGTAACTCGCAGAAATATCTGCAATATTTTCGCATATGGCAGCTAAGGTTGGCTAGCTGGAAAGCTAACTAACTAACTTAATGCTAGCCAGCAGGAATATATCACAGTAGCAACCAAACAGTTTTAAATTGAATTATAAATTACTGACTTGTGTGTTGTGAAATGTTAATTTAATATTGTGAAAGTGGCGCGAAGATGGCTGTTGGTCGGGTTTAGGGATATGTGTTTGACTGTCAGTGAGCAGGACCGGCTATTAACCGGCGGCAACTGAGATGCCTGTGGCGGGGGAAGACAGAAGCTTGCAGATAAAGAACAGACTGTGTGATAGCACTAATGTTACAGTGTGAGAGCTAGCTTGCTAACGTAAACCAGCTACGTTAGTGGTTGGGCGAGCGAGAGTGAGAGAGGGAGCGGGGCTCAGTGATGCAAATTAGTGCTTTTCGGCGCCTCCCGCTTTTTTAACGCTGATTTGGGTGACTTGTGTAATTCGTGGAGAACCGAAGAGTTTTCGTTTTTGGGGGGGGGGGGGGGGGGGGGGTTTGGAGTCCGTCAACAACTTCGTACTTAAAAAAAGAAGAAATCTAGACCGCAAAATAATTAAACAAGCGAGTGCCTGTTTTTCCTGACCAAGGACAGGTTCCTTGAACACAACACGAGCGTAACGTGTCTTCACGTGGTATATGTCTGAAAGGAGTGCTGACGGAGAGCACCGGAAAGCCGCTCCAGCTCTTCAAATATTGCAGTACCCATAAGGAGCCGTACACATGCCGCAGTGTTTGCGTGGCTATGTCTTTAGTTGTAATCACAGTGGCGATCTGTTGTTATTAGCATCTGGTTAGCTAGCTATGCTAACGAATTTAAAGAGCTTCTCTACAACCAGGTGGAAGAGAGCTCTCTCCTGAGAGGCTCAAATAACCTCAGCTCAGTGAGGTTAAGGCACACCTTGATATGATCATTATAGTTATTAATGAGACATTAGAGACTAAATGAAAAACAGGTATAAAATACTATATGACAGTAACAAAAAAGTTGTTAAAAATAACAAGAATATAGTTTAAAAGGGGAGTGATTTGTAAAATATCCAAAATGAAAAATCTTGATTTATAACTTAACATCTCTGTCTCCTATTGATCTGAGTATATTATAAAGAATAGCCAGTTCATTGAAGCATTATAGCACAGGCCTTTGTCAGATGGTATATTACGCTGTTTTTTCTCTGCTTCGAATAGTTCTCTCTTTTTTTCACCATACCTGTGTTTGCATCACTGATCTATACTCTGTCATTTTTTGTTTAATATTTTTGTTTGTTTCATTTTCAGTTACATGTGGAAGTGTAAAGACTGTGGTGCAGAGGAAACCTCAAGATTTCAGCTATTGAAGCACTACAGGTTAATACATGGCCACTTTGGCCGCAGACAACCTTATCCATGCACATATTCTAAATGCCCATGCACATTTAAAACGTGGAATGCCCTTCGAAGTCATCTATCCAGATCACATTTTGATCAAACGTCACAAAAATCTGTAAATGTAACAACATTTACCTGCCATCATTGTTCTTGTAGTGGCATTGTCTCATTGAGAGAGTTTTTCGTTCATGTTAACAACCATCTCAAAAGACACGAAACCATCTGTTGTGTGTTTGAAAGTTGTTCCTTTTCAACAAATATTTACGGAACATATCAATCACACAAGAACAGAAAGCACAAGACGCATACACTGAACAATTTCAAAGCTGGAATTGTGGAAAATGGAAGGGCAGATTCATTGAGTTGTACTTTGGGAGATACATGCTTGACAGAGAGTGATGAGATACTTCACGATGATGAGCTTGAGGTTGGTGCATTGGTCCAAACGTCAGAGAACTTGCATAAAGTTATAGAACAGAAACTGGCATTTGTTTTATTAAAACTTGAAAACTGTTTCCATGTACCAGGCTCTGCCATTGATGAGCTGCTAAACGAGTTGCACTATTTGATTAGTTCTTCTCTGGTGCCAGTATCCAACAACATTCTAGCTGATTTCTTCAGTAACCATAACTTGCAAGTTGACCAATTGCTCATTAATGAGTTAGGCTGTACACTTTGTACGTCCAACCCTCTGTCAAAAGCTTTACAAAAGGAAGGACCTTTAGCCACTGCTTTTAAGAGGAAGCAATACTACAAGGATCATTTCAATATTGTTGATCCAGTTCAGTACATACTTGATGCAAAGACTAAAAGAAGTTTTCAGTATGTCCCTTTGCTAAAGGTTTTACATCAGCTACTTCATCAAAATGATGTGCTTAGCAAGGTTGTTGAAAAGAGAAGAGAACAACAGGTAGTGAATGACCACCTTCATTATAAATCTTTTGAAGATGGCCAGTACTTCAAGAACAATGATTTTCTGGCAGGGGGGGAACTGAGAATCTCCATCTGTCTATACGTAGATGACTTTGAAGTCTGCAACCCACTCGGTACTTCACGTAAAACACACAAACTCTGTGCTGTCTATTGGATTTTGGGAAATTTGCCTCCTGGCAGCCATTCCTCTTTGACCTCAATATACCTGGCTCTTTTATGTAGAAGTGATGACGTGAAGACCTTTGGCTATTGCAAAGTATTTGAACCATTACTCCAAGACCTTGTTACATTGGAGCGGCAGGGTGTTTTTGTCTCACAACTGGGTACATTTGTGAAAGGGACACTTCAGTGTGTAGTGTCAGACAACCTTGCAGCACATGGAATAGCCGGATTTGTGGAAAGTTTCTCGGGCCCATATGCTTGTAGGTTTTGTACAGCTCAGCGAGCAGAAACTCAGGTTAAAGAAGTGAAATCGGGTGCATTTACCCCAAGAAACAAGGAGCTTCATCAAGTCCATATTGATACTGCACAGGCAAAAGGAGGTAGCTTTTTTGGTGTAAAAAAAGCGTGTATTTTCACAGAAAGACTTGCCCATTTCAGTGTCACATCAGGGTATCCTCCTGATGTTGTCCATGATCTTTTTGAGGGCATAGTCCCAGTAGAGCTTGCACTGTGCCTTGGTGTGCTTATTTCCAAAAAGTTTGTTACGCTTGAAAACCTCAATAAGAGCATCAAAAACTTTCCATACAAGTGGGGGGACAAAAAAAACCGACCTCATTTGGTCCCAGTTAATTTTGTCCGAAACAAAAGAATTGGTGGCAACGCGCACGAAAATTGGTGTTTATTGAGGTTATTGCCGTTTATGATTGGGCAGTTGATCCCTGAAGACGAACCAGCTTGGAAAGTGATTCTAGACTTGAAACATATTGTAGAGCTTGTTGTTGCACCTATCCACTGTGAGGAGTCTGTGGCATATTTAGAGTTTAAAATCTCAGAGCACAGACAGAGATACCAAGAAGTATTTCCAGATCAGCGACTCTTGCCAAAACATCACTTTTTGGAGCATTACCCAGAAATGATTAAGCTGTTCGGCCCCATTGTGATGTTTTGGACTATGCGTTTTGAGGCCAAGCACAGTTATTTCAAACAGGTTGTAAGACACACAAAGTGTTTCAAGAACATTACACTGTCTCTGGCAAATAAGCACCAGCTGATGATTGGCTATCACATGCACACAAGGAGTAATGAGAGGTCAGCCTTTGACGTGTCAAACGTCTCAACAATTCCATTAGATATCATGAAAGAAGACATAGCACTTCAACTAAGTCAGAAATACACTAACCTCACAACAGTCACGCTAGCACACATTGTCTCTAGCAATGGCATTGAATATAGAATTGGAATGCTTCTTGTGCATGGATCAGTAGGTGGACTGCCTGAATTTGCAGAAATACTTCAAATGTGTATATTGAAAAACACATTGATCTTTATATGCAGAAAATTGTCTTCATGGTACAGGGAGCACTACGGAGCATTTGAGCTCCAGTCATCTTCAGCCAGAGAGATTGTGTTGGCAGAGTTAAGTGAACTGACCGACAACTATCCCCTGAGTGACTACAAGTGTGGAACCCTCCGAATGGTCACCCTTAAAAGATACATACACATGTCAGGTAATTATCCTTTAATTTTTATTTGACTTTGACTGAATGTCTTCATGGGAATGTGGGTAAAATAAGACACAGAATATCAATTAAAAACATCTGGGGTTTGGAGTCAGAAACAAGTGAGGTTAGGTTAACAGAAATAATAAAACACAACTCTACAAGGATGCTGGCGTACCCTAACTAAATCTATGCATGCTAGTTAATCAAGTCAAGTTGCATTTTGTAACATTTGCAATATAAATTTGAAACTGCCGACAATTCAAATCGGTCTGCAGTTTAATTGAACTACCAAAAATGATAATGCTGCCTTAATGTTTACTATGGCTTTATAACTACACATGTGCAAGAGTCATTCAAATATAAATATTTACACAACACATAATTAAATATGTTACTAAAGTTTAAAGAATACTTCCATCACACTAACCCAGTGCTTTCAATGCCTATGATACCTCCACTGATGATGACTGGATCTGCCTCGAATTGTATTACCTACTGTTTAAAAAATATATATCTTCTTCTGTCTTTTCTTTAGAGTAACCTGTTGACAAGTATGGCCACTTCTGCAGTGCTTTGCATCATCCTAGGAGAAAATGACTCTGCAAAAGTAACCCTGCCTTTGGGAATACCAAGCTCTGTTGAGGAACTTCAAAGTGAGATTAAGAGACAATGTGAGGTGTTTGGAGACTTTAGACTGCAATACAAGGACCTTGATTTTGATGAGTTTATAAACCTTACCTCCACCTCAGACATTCAAAACAAGGGGAAAATCAAAGTAATTTACCCCCCAAGTGCCTTATCTACAAGCAGTCCTGGCTTCTCTGCACGGACATCCAGCCAGGATGAGATCAATTCAATCTCATCTGTGGACACTGATCTTCCCTTATCTTCTGATTCTTCGTCAACATCATCCCTCAGAAGTGAGCCATGGCCAAACGCCTTTCCTGTGCCGGAGTTTGTCTATGATGTCGAGATCCAACTCCAGCGTGCCAATAGTGACTTTCAAAGTAATGGTACCCTCTTCAGTCCTAATCCAAGAATGAAGTCAGATATTCTTGAAACTTTGGCATCACAGATTGTGAAATATAAAGCATATCCCTCAAGTGCTGAATTTGATTCGGTAGCTGAAGCACTTGTGAAAAAGCACCCATGTTTAAGGGAGCAAGGCTCTGTTACTGGCTTTTATGGTTGGAAGATCAGTTTAAAATTCAAGATGGGAAACTACCGCACTAAGCTGCGCAACATTGGATGTTCAGAGCTGACTGTCAATTCTTTAAAGCGTCAACAGGATGATCAACGCACATCTCGCAATCAAGTGAAGAAACCTAAAAGAGCGGAGGTAAACTACTATCCAGACTATCCAACAGGACAAACCAAACGGAGCCTAGAGGAAGAGAGGCTGGCACTACTGTCCGAGGTACATAAGAACAATAACCAACAGGTGGTGGAGGATAAAATGGAGAGGACATTTGCCTATAGGCGTCATGAGGTGATTGAAGACAAGCCATTCATTGCCGAATTCAAAAGAAGGTGGCCGGCTCTCTTTTCTGAGCGTGAGGTCAGTCATATATTTTGTTGATAACTTAATTATTATATTTTGCAAGGGGGTTCAATTTAAAGAAGCATTTTACCAATGTACATGTGATGCAGTTTGCCAGAAAACATTAGGGCAAATGCGTCAAGACTGGCCACATACACTTATTATGTTTGTCATTGGAACCTGACTACAGAATCATACTAAGAAATTAACCTAACTTTCATGTTAAATGATAGCTTTGAGAAAAATAATTATTCTATATTTTCATTCTTACAATGCTTTGACAAAAAAATCATCAGGAAGTAAAAAGAAAAATGTCATGGCTGAATTATTCCATTAACTTTTACTGTGGTGCTGCAGCCAACAAGAAAATGTGTTGATTTGATTTATGTGTTTGTCTTTATTAAATGTTTGTAGGTGGAAGCAGAGTTTGCTCGCATCACCACTGTCCCACTGAGATCTAAGTTCATGCAGCAGCTAGATCATCACTCCTCCAAGCTGTTAAGGATTTTCCAGAAAAAAGGTGGTGCCGCTGGGCAGAAAATAAGGAATATCATGGCAGAATACGACAAGGTGTGTTATCTAACAAATGCCTGGTTATTAGAAATATTTGTTTTGTTTAAATTAATTTTATTGTATTTATTGTGCAGTTGTATTACTTAAGCATGCAGTAAAATATTTGAGACGTGTGGCTGATGGAAGACATTTTAAGTCATGTTCCCACAAAGTTTAAAATGTACTTGATCAAGTCATTTTCAAAATGAAAATGAATAAATTAATTGTATTTTCATCTAAAGAGATTTGCATATTTGTGTACCTTTTCTGTGGAATGTAGTAATACATAGTGTTTCATGAATGCAAATTCGCAGAAGTTTGGCTTTTTTGAATTGCAATAATTTGATTTACTGTGCTGCATATGATGGTAGTGAAAAAATGCTTATACTGAAACATATTTCTAAGATGATCATAATGCTTAGTTCCCAGTTAAATAAATACAGTGTCTTGGATTATAACATAAATACTTTTAAAGTACAACTCACTACCTAGTAATAACCAAACACTTGCATTACAGGTGCTTCTTGTGGTATTATAACTTGTACTCCAGTTGAATGCACATTCGTCCCCCTTCATAATAAAATGCACTTAGACACTGCCTGTAAATGTAAAAAATTGTATGAAGTTGCATGTAAAAAAGAACAGGATAGTTTGCTTGTGCATTAATGCATCTAGTGTTAAATGCTGCACAATGTAAAAATACTATTCTCCCACTTATGCATTTCCTTTGTTACAGAATGACGCCATCGAGACAAGGAGAGCCTGCGTTATAAAAGCACTAATTGTGTACCTTAATGAAGACCCCGAAAGCCTGATTAGAGAGTACCTCGTAAGTATTTGTGCCTCTGCTTTCCACATTATTACCCTCTGGAAACAAAAAAAGTGATTTATTTCGTACTTTTTTGAGCTGGTTTTAAACAAACTAATGGCACCACAGGTTTGAAAGAGCAATCAGAAAATAACCCATATGCATGCATAGTACAATTCCCTTTTCAAACTATCAACAGCAGTTTGTAGACCGTTGCTTGAATGTATAATTCATAAATGGAACTGTTGAGTTTCTCAAATTTAAAAGTTTTGTAAAACCATTTTCATATCCATGGTTAACTAAATACCCACAAGCCCCTAGCAGATACCGTCAACAACTAGAAAAGCTACACCCAATGTAGCTTGTAGGTATGCTTATCTGGGAGCTCTATATATGTTACTTAGCAAGAGTGTTGCTTTTTTCCCGTGTGTGTGTGTGTAAGTCTGGCTGATGGTCTATTTTTTCTGCCTTTTAGGATGTTGAGACTGACCAGAGTGTAGATCAGATGGTCTTGGGAATCTTCGCCATAAAGAAGGAAGGTGCAGAGCCAACGGATTCCCTCGCAGATGTGGGGATTGTAATTGAAGGTGTGGAAGTGCTGAACGATCTTCAAAACATTGCGAACGCACTGGCAATTTTATTTGGACTCACATATGCATTGGACTTGAGCTATCCAAAAAACCTGAGATGCACGTTTGAGGTTCTTCAAAAGATCCTGATGGAAATGGATGTTCGCCACCTGTCGTCAAAGGCTCAAGTGCTGAAAAACAAACTGTTTGAATGAACTACTTGAACACTACAAGTGGAACGCCTTGAAACGGCACGTTGGATATCTTGGAGCAGGGGTTTTATCCAAATATTTCGGAGGGAATTTTATCTATGGAATGTTACTGAATAGGAATGTTACAAATGATTAATGTCGTACAGTTTATACGTACAAGTTGCAGTTTGGGCTATGTGGTTAAAACATGGTGCTCTTTTGAAAATTGTTGTTGCTAGCTAAATGTTGTGCAACTTTTTCTATTAAGGTGATAGCAAACTAATTATGTATATTTACCAGGTCAATAATATACTACCGTATCCAGCTAAGAGCAACATTAGCCTGGAAATGTCTGTTCTGACAAGTGTGTTTCCAATATTTACTCATCCTTTAGCTCTGTTTTGGTCTCAATACTGTTGAAGGTTATCTCGCTCCTCGGCTGCTGGATGTTTAGTTTTCCTCTCCAGCTGGTCGCTAACTTTGGGGGCCAGGTGCTTCGTCGCCTGCTTAATGATAAACGTGGAGGGAATTGAGAGTCGATCAGAGCTGGCTTGCTGAATTTTTTTGGATTTAGACAGAATTAAGAATTAGACAACACCAAACAGAAAATATGCTATAAAACCAAAACAATAATCTAGAAAACTATTGTTCCGGTTTTCATTATCTCCATAGCAACAGTTGATGACAAGAGACATTTATAAACGTTTTACACATTTTGTAGTTTACTTTTCTATTTATGTGACGACTTACATGCAATGTTTAGTTTCAGTTTGGGCTATGTGGTTAAAACATGGTGCTCTTTTGAACATTTTTGTTGCTAGCTAAATGTTGTGCAACTTCAACCTTTTGTTTGTTGATAAGGTGTGATACAAAGAAGTCTTTATGGGTTTCCATGATTTTAAACTTGGTAAACCTGGTTGCCTATGTGGTTATATCGCGTTTCATGTGAAATAAATGTATTTTTTTCACTGAACCTTAAGTCAGTTAATTTGAATTTACTTAACTACACTTCGTGGAATTTGTTGACATAGTCTGGTTTAGTAAGTGAACTTAAAATGACTTCCATTATAGCAATGAATACCAGTTAAGTAACACGGAATGCAGTAGTTTCCAAAATGATTTAAGTTTGAACTACAAATTAAAGTTAAGTTGATCTTACTAAATACAGTTGAGTATAGCAGTTCTTACTTTTAAGTAACATGAATATAGGTGAGTTAAGTTAGCATTATATAATATCTTTATGTTGGCATTAATCAAAAAAATCAAGTATGTCTAAAGAAACTGCACTGTGTTGACTTAATATTGCTCAGTTAAGTTAGCTGGACACAGAGCTATTAATTAAATCCAGGGTGACCGGGTATTGTTGAAGTTAATTAACACGGTCGCGTTGGCTCAACATAAGTCAGTTATATTCTTCTTACTAGTAATATTTAATTATAATCTACTCAACTCAGTTTCGTGGAATTTGTTGACATAACTTTATTAAGTAAGTCCAAGAAATTATTTTTTTGAGTGTATGCATGCATTCTAAAATCTTAATTTAAAGGGGACCTATCATGCAAAATGCACTTTTGTACGTCTTTTATACATGAATATGTGTCCCCGGTGTTCCAGGGAACTCACCAAGTGTCAGAAAACACAACCCTCTCTATTTTCCTCCATACCCAAATCTCTAAAAAAGGGGCTGCAACGGATCTGATAAAAACTGATCCAGATTTGAACACTTCTATGACGTCACAGAAGTGGCGCTACGGCTATTGGGCCAACTCTCCACCTATCAGGGGAATGTGGGGTTGGGCCACGGCCGGCCATTGCCGCTCGAAAGCGATGGAGACGCTGTAGTACATATGCCAGGCCTGTAAGTGGCGCTGTAGTCTGCCACAAAAGCAGCGAAGAAGACTTCTCGCCCTTAGTTACCATGGTTACCCTTCTGTTTATTCTCCGCTGTGGCTTTTTTTCTCCCTCCCCGAGGCAAGCGTTTGCTCCCGCTGCTTTAATTCAATGCAATCCCTCCCCGTCGAGGCAAGCACTGTAATTCTCTCCGGTTAGTCCACCAGCAGATGACAAACACCCACCTCTCCGCCTCTTCCAAGGAACGAGGGGACCGTGCGGCAGAGTTTCAGTTTCTTTCGCCGGTCAAGATGTCCGTTAAAGTTTAAATCTTCCGGACAAAATTAGAAAAGTGCCGGTCAAAGGTCTTCTTTGTTATTTATAGAGCTTTAAAACAAATGAATAACGACTCTATAGGGCTATAATAATATAATAAAACCATAGACTGTATATATAAATAAAACACGGAGGACGGAGATCTTTTTTTCTCCCCCTCTTGACTTGATCAGAGCACGGCTCTCCTCTCCTGCAGGGGGGCGTGGTCAGCTGCAGCTCACAAAATCAGCCCCGTAGACAGCAAACAGCACATAGAGCGAAATGAGGCATGGCTAAAATGCATGATCTGTTTGGTATTTTGAAAACAGAAACGTATAAATATACCTTATATAGGTATGGCCCTACAATATATCATTTAAATATAGCATGATAGGTGTCCTTTAAAAAAATATATGTTTTATCGAATGTTGAAATAACCAAAGATTCCCACCACTAGCAGACACGGTCTGGTTCCAGCCTCTGAACAGATTGATAGATGCATGCATTATAAAGAAAAGAGGGTACAACAAATAGCATGCTAAGCAAAAAGAAAGCATGCAGCAGCTGCTCTGCGGGTCAGAACACAACCACGTAACCATGGATACGCTGGCAATATTCTTCATATCTTTTGTTATTTAAAGAAGTACCATTACAAAAACCAAACCAACAACGCTTCTCAGTACTTCCCTTCTCTCCCTGTGGCATTCCAATCCAAGCCCTTTGGTTTCTACTGAAAACGTGCATCTATTTTATAAAAAAGTGTCACAAATGTATTGTTTTATTTCATTAAAGCAACACCAAGTAACTTTTCAAGGAGAAAAAATAAACAAAAGAAGTGACGCGGTTTAGGAACTTAAAGGGCCCATAGGGAACAGTGACATGAAGGAGGTGTAAAAGTCATGTTGTACTTCCTTCTTCTTCTACTTTTATATTAAGTAACAACGCTTGTAGGATGGAAAAATATCTGTTTTTTTTTTTTAAATATGGGAAAGGGAAACCCTGGACGTTGTGCCAGACTGATTCTATGGACATTCTCCGGATATCATGAACAAAAGTTGACTCAACTGTCATTGTAAAAAATCTCTGCTTGCACTCCGTTTACACCGTCTTACAGGTTTTACTACTTTTCCATGACGCCACTTTTTAGGAATGGATACCTTTTCGTACTTTAAAAAGGCGAAGTATTTTCGAATCAAGTGTTTGTGGCAGGAGGACGGTATTATTGTTTTTGGATGCCAATAGAAGAAAAGAGGACTGCGGTATGTCAAGCTTTTAAAAACAAGGTAAGTAGGATCAATTTAGTGTTGGTATTGGTCTTTGTAATGTTTTTTCTTTTCTTTTCTTTAATAGGAAACTGACTTTAATTATTTAAGTATTGGTCAGGTTTAATTTGCTACAGAAGAAACACAGAACATGGTGATCTGCTGCCCTCTTGTGCAAAGACTCAAATTATTCAGAGCAACATTAAAAGCCTAACATTCAATTCCTACAATTATCTTTTTGATTCATATTTAGCAGACTGATTTAGAATGCAGATTTAAAAAAAAAAATGTCTTGTGTGTTCCCTTCAGAGTGCCTTACCCTAACACTTCGTTTTCGCATTTGGGGCCACCGCTGGCGACAGGAGCATGCAGGTTAGCAGCAAAACAAAATGACACTGTGGTTAGTCAGGCACAGACACAAACATGTGCAGTCTATACAATGCATGAGCAATGAATACAATGTACAGCAGGTGTCCCTTCAGTTGGAGAACATGCAGTACATACAGGGCCTCTTCTGCCGTCTCCGTCTCTGAGTGACAGACTCATGTCCACCAACACGAGGCCCATGTCCTCCTCCAGGCTGTTGGGGTCGTTCAAGGACAAGAGCAGCTCGTTGGCCCTGGAACACATCGACCAGAGGGAGCATCATGTTAAGTTTTGTTGACATGATGTCAGAGAGAAGTTATTCCTGCTTCCTGGAGAGGCGGAGCTAAAAACATAAAAGGCTGGCCTCAAGTGGAGGCCCATCTCCTATTGTTTTTATTTGATAAGCAAGCTTCCTTTGCTTTAAATTGCATACATATATATCCACCATGTCGTTTTTATCCTTAGTTGCTGTATTGTTCAATTTAGATGAGGTGTTTCTACATTCTTCTAACTGTTGATTTGATTTGCCCTTCTAACCCTAACCCTAACAATAGGACACAGATTTGGAACTTCTTATGTGCTCATTGTTAAATACATTGCATTGACTTTTAACTTTAAAACCAATCTTTTCTTACCCAAGATAAACATAATCATTCAATTGTTTTTTTTGTTTTTATTTTAATATTTGCTTCTTTAAAATGGTTTCATATCATGAGGCCAAAACAAAACAATGTGAACTTTTTTTAATCAAAATGTAAACTGTGTGAAATGGTTAAAGCAGACAGAGACTTTATAAGGAAATCAAATATTGGCCGATGACTGCTTGTTGCAAAAACCTAATTATAAGCACATATATGTGAGCCAATAAGTCACAAGATGTTGCTATACAGAAAGGCAGAATACATTTTTAAAGGTAATCTTGGAAAGGTTTTGAAAGTAATTTTTTTCAAACTTTTAAGACGAAAAGGGGTATACTCAAACAGAAGACTTGTCAAAAATGTTTGTTTATGTGTTAATTGCAAATAGTAAACATTTTTACTGTTCGCCAACTTATATTCAGCATATTTTCTTTTTAATTCTCAAGAAATCAGTATTCATTTATAAAAGAATCATTTACCCCTGAACTCTAAATGAAAGACTCACTTGTCCATCTCCAGTTCACTCAGGGTGACGGTAGCGGAGCCCATGAAGTCATCAGTAGTCAGATCACGGTCGTAAACCTGAGTCACATCAACGGCAAGCGAGTGTTCATACAGAGCAGATATGATAATAGTGATAAATAGCATTGTAAATAACTTAACCACTATGTGAACAATGACAGTGCGTTACCTTGATGTACAGTTTCTGGTTCAGATCCTTCACAGGAATGGAGAAGCTCTCATTCCATTTGGGGTTGAGGTCTCTATAAACCACTTTGCTTTTGTATAATGTCTTCCCATCCAATTTGAACTTCACATACGGGTCGCTGGTACCTGAAAACAATAACAAATACAAGCCAAAGCAGGTGGATTAAACGCAGCTGTTCATTGATTGACTTTACAAATAGTATTTTCTAAGATGATTTTATTAACAGGTGCCATATTACGCTCATTTTCAGGTTCCATATTTGTATTTTGTGTCTCTACTGTGACACGTTTACATAGTCCAAAAAGGTGTGGTAGAGAAACTCCCTCTGGAGGGAACTTAGGGATGTTAGCCTTTGCAGACCATACACAAAGCTAACCATGTTTGGAAAGGTTTAGTTTGAATTCATAGGCCAATATACTCCCGAGTGCTGTATAAGGAATTTATTGTATTGTCGTTCTGCTGTATTTTAAAAGAAGTGCATTTTTGTCATTGTGACTAAAATACACTGATGCACTGACCGTGCATTTTATTTCCAAACTAGGTTTCTAAATAGCACCCTTGTTTCTAAACTTCTAAAATAACTGTACAGGTTTCCAGTGAAAGGGAGGAGCATGGTGTACTCTCTCATGAGTCTGAACAGAGGATGTGGTTTCTGTCCTCTTCAACCAGGGGCACCACAAGCTTCCTGAATCAGTAGCCAATCAGATGTACGCTTCCACTACAAAAAGTGACAGCAGCTGAAAACTGTGAGTTTGTCTCATGACTAGTGTATCAGGTGAAGATAAGACAACATGTGAACAGGATTCAGAATGAATACATGTTTCATTATAAGATTTTAAGAAAACTTTAACTTTTTTTAAACCTCACTTTCACAAATCTCACTTTCATTGCTGCTCTTTCAAATAATTTCCCCTTTGAGGTGTGACTTCTATCTGTTCTATCAGTCAACCAGCTGGGGGCAGCAGATCACCAATCCCACCCTCAGATTCTGCTGATTGGCCAAGTATTTACACAAACACAAGGAATTTGAATGCAGCTTTTATTTTGTTGTTTGATATTAATATCATAACGTTTTCAGTTGTAGTTTCCCTTTTTGGATTTATAAGACTTCCTTATACAGTCATGTTCCTGTATTTTGACATACCTCCTTTCTCTCATCGTGTTCTCCTGCAAGTCATATTTGATTTCTCTAAAAGCTGTCATTAAGGGCTTAAGCACATTGATTTCCCCCCTCTTTATTCTTTCCTTTCATGTAAATGCACAGGATATAGAAATACAGCTAATAAAAGAATATCAAAGTTTGTACTATGCAGTATGTGCCTTTATACAGAGTTTGCATAAAAAGTGTGTAAATATAAATTCAAAAAATGTATAAATAGATATTTTATTATGTTTCTATTCTATATTATCATACATTTGTGTTAAAGTATAATATATATATATATATATATACATCCCTACTATTTAATATTACAACTTCTGCTTTTCTTATTATAAATTGTATGTATTATGCTCCAATGCAAATAAGCATTACATTACATTATGCAACAAATCATTGTTTGTCATCAGCAAACAACTGTCAGCATTCACTCTGCTTGCATTGTTTCTAATCCAATCAAAGAGAACAATAAATGTTCTTCATGCACTGCTCTTAAAAGGCTGCATAGTCTTAACAATCATGCAGGGGAAACCAAATCCTCCTTTGCCTTCATCCTCCCATCATTTTTCTGCATTATCTTTACCCACAGCCTGCTTGTGTAAATACAAAGCCACACGAGAGAGAAGATAATCCAGAGACATGCCCAGAGTGAAAGGCCTGCTTTAATGAGTGCTGGGTGTGGTTCAGACAGGTTCTAATATGCCGTGTGGAATCCTGCCCCGGCTGTTATAAGACCTGCACAGACAACCTGACACTCGGCTGTCTCGGCTGTCTCGGTTGTCCCTGGAGTCAAAAACATTGTGTTTAATCAAACAGACACAAGCGCTTACAAGCCAAGGCTAAACACACAGACTGAGGTCAGCACAGGCAGAAGCACACACACAGGAGAGGACACAAGTCTTTTCTGCTAGGTTTAAAAGGGCCCTACGATGCTCATTTTCAGGTTCATATTTAAATGTTGTGTCTCTACTGGGACATGTCTCCATGCTTTAATGTTCAAAAAGGTCTTTATTTTTCTCATACTGCCTGTGCTGCAGCACCTCTTTTCACCCTCCGTCTGAAACCAGAGCTCAGTCTGCCCTGATTGGTGAGCCGGCCATCTCCTTGCACGAGTGTTACATAGTGATGTCACTATGTTACGGAAGTAAGCAAAAGAGTCCAATGGAGGCAGGGGGGGGGGGGGGGGGGGGGGCACGTGTTGGAGAGGACTTTAGTCTTTGCAGACCATTCACAATACCAATATAACACACCAAAGGAAAGGGAAAACCCTTATATGCATAATAGTTTTTTTTCTTTTCTCTAGAAGTCTCTGAAAAGGGATGTTAAGGGAAGTGCAATAAGTAAAGATGTGATGGAATATGTTACTTCAATGATCTCTGTGTCGTTACAGAAGTGATACAGTACATGGAAAATGTCAAAATAAAAACAAAACTAGCAGTTGCAACTCAAGCGTGAGATCAGGTAGAGACAATGAATAACAGTAGTAACACTTAGTCACTGGGACAGAGATGCACATGGTCGTGCTAAATGATGACATGAGTGACAAACTGCATAACCATGTGTCAGAGGTAGCAGAAAGACAGGAATGACCAATGAGTAGAGTGTATACTACCTAGAAACACTTGATTAACTAGCAAGGATGACAACGTTCTCACCAAATACATTTGATCAGATTTAGGGGAGGAGTTTGAGTGATTTATTGAAATAAATATAAAACCACTACTAAAGTTTTAATTTTCTATTGTGTGGCATTGTTTTATATACATAAAGAAGATACAAAAAAAAACACAAGTACACTGACACACACACAGCAAATAAAACACTAACATACACACACCAAGTCCTATACAAATACCCCAAAAAATACATAAAGTAAAAGGTAGGGTAGACATTGCCACAGAAGGGATATGCACCTACATATCGGAGATGCAGAATTATCTCAAGTATAAGGGATTTTTAAGATGAATTGAAGGGAAAGCATGTTTGTAAAAGGGAATGCCTGAATAAAGATTAGGATCTAAACATTCAAGTACCACTGGTTTTAAATCAGATGGAGCGTCCCAGTTTCCTTACAAAAAACCTATTCTCAATGTGCCTTTAGACAGAAATATAACGTAGATTTGCTACTGCGTCAGAGTAGCTTCCTTGTTATGAGGATTTATTTTACCTGTAGATCCTGTTGATTTAGTGATGTGTGCATAACATCCACTCAGAACAGCTGCCACCTTCTGCAGACCAAAGGAAGCTCACAAGTTTCTCCCGTGTTTTAACATCATGTTTAAAAGTATTGTTTTGTTGGTCTAAACCTAAAGCTATTCATCTAAAGACATAATTTAAGACTGAGACACTGGGATGGACTTTTTACACTATATTAAAATATGTTTTCTGGAAACTAACCAGCAAAGACATTAGTTGAAATCCTAATCTCCCTTATACAAATTATTTATTTGTAAGATTATCTGTTTGACCTTATTTTGCACATCATATCAGATAACATGTTTGTGTTTATGTTGGCAGAGTAAAAGTCATATGATGATCTTCTTACCGCAGCGGTCCCTGATGACCAGGTTGCGTCCCTCCTTCAGGTTGATGGTGAGCAGGAAGGACCGGGTAGAATCCTTGATGCCCTCCGACACACTCGGAGACTCATTGCCCATCTCAGACTGCACACACACACACACACACGGCAACACAGAATGATTATTTATTCTACTTTAACACGTGGTACATCTGATTAAAGCTGGACTTGTTGAGCTAGTATGCTAAAGTTTGAGAACAGAATCTAAAATAACACTTTTTTTATACCCAGCTTTTCATTTATTAATTTCAACAACTAAAACAAATCATGTTTGATAGAGATCTTGAATACTTTGATCATTTTAAGAGGTTTTTCAACGATGTGAATAATTTTTTCAAAAAAAGGTTATTCCATTTAACCTTTTTTTCAAATCATATCCCAACTGCATGTCAACGCAATTTTTTTTTATTTTATTTTTTTTAGTCCCACTCTTCTCCTTTCCTTTCTTCTTTTGTTTTTTTTACACAAATAGATCTTGATTACATTTGACATCTATCTATTTCCTTTTAGAAAATATGTAGAATGTAAAAAATGGGGAAATAAATAAAATGCAGTGCATTTCCTTATATGTTTTTATAAATATTAAAAAAAATCCTACATTTGCATAAGGCGAGACACTAAGGGCAAACACATTGCTATGTTTCAGACTAGAGGAAAGAAAACATCCAATACACACAATGAGGTGTTTGTTTTAATAACTGTCTATGTGTATCTGTTTTTGCATATTTAAACATAACATTTCATGAAACTTGGAATAGCAAAAATGATGGTCTTAATGCAAATAATCAGCTTTCCTTTGGAATTTCCATGCTACTATATTTATGAATTTGATATTGATTGAATCATATTGTAAGATTTTGAGAGATTATCATTTGTCTTATTATGTTCTTCGGCTACTAATTTGATGCGTACATAAGCATAAGCACAAAGGGACTATTCCTGTTTTGCGAAGAAAATATGTATTTGTACATTTGTTTATTTATTCTATAAAATATCAAATTAACTCCACATTTTCCCCTCCCTACTCAAACCGATCCAGTGAAACCAAAAAAAGGTTGTTTATTCCCCCCTTGCATTATACCTAATGCTTTTCATTCCGACGTCACATGTTCGCCACATACTGGACTTTACATGTTGCATTACGTCTTTTACCTCTACTGTTATGACTGTGTTTTTCTCATTGCTTTTGGTACAATCTAAAAAGCACACTCCAGGGAAGGCTTTATGCAGCTGTGTGCCCCGTGTGCTTCCTGTGCAGGCAATGGATTATTTAATCACCATTAAGCCTCTCTGAACCGAACTGGGCATCTTTCAGAAAATAAACCCCAGTTGCCTGGAATCCCCCGGCTCAGCGTGCACGGCCACAAAAGCCAGGACGACACACACTGAACTGCACACGGCCTACTGTCCCATCATGCCCTGAACACAACACAATAATCTGGAATTAAACCTTGACATTAGTGTGTGTCAGCTGAAGCACTATGCTTCTGTTTGCATGACACTTGACGTTAAACAGTCCTTTTAACCCATGAAGTTATTTTCTGAATTGTTACTGGACAATAAATACAATGTTAAAGTGATATATGTTCAACAGCACAGAATCGTCATTGGAAATGCAGCACTTACGTTCTGGTTGTCATCGTCTTTTGATCCGTATTCCTGATAATCATACTGCAGAGACAAAAAGGTACATTCTTTATATAAATCAACATGTGATCTATAAAGAAGATTGGTAAAGTCCCAGGTGGTGAAAGAGGAACTTTTGTATTCAGGTGTTCAGTTAAAAAGGTTCAGGAAGTGATCTCTCTTTGGCTTTCTTCCACCAGCACAAATGCACTTGAGCATTTATTACAAATGCTTGTGTCCCAGTGGCTGCAGCAGCATTAAACCAAAGAACTCCGTAATGAGAAGAAAGTTAATTTCTGCCCTGTTGTTCAGTTCAAACTACAACAACCACACTACTACAACTCTAACACTTCATATTTCATTTGCTTTCAAACAGAGGTGTGGAAAGTTTAAAAACAAGGTACAGATTATTCCTTGGTCACTTTTCTTTTTACAATATGCACCTAAAGAAAAAAATGGTGACTTTTCTGTTTCTTTACAATTCTGGCATAGTTCAAAAGACCATTCTCTGGGGCCGCAAATATGAACCCTTTAAACCCCCGCTTACCACACAGTCTGCCATAGGTATTTTCAAATCAACTTTTTTCTACTGTATTGCTTGTAGTAGCGGTGCAATGAAATGTGGCTCCCATGAACCAAAGATTACAAAAACACATGAATAGCAATAACAGACCTTTGTAAACTAGTGAAAAATAACACAACATCTGATTAATTCAAAATGAAAAGGAATATTCAATAAGAACTGTACATCCCAGCAATAACATTATTGGATAGGCTTAGTGTTGCTGACGACCTTGTAAAAAATGTACATACATTTGTAACACTTTAAATTGCATGTTCTACTCTATCTGTTAAGTAGCTGCTATGCAATGGACAGAACAAATATTCACTTGATAATTTGTTGCCTTAAATATGGAGTTATCCTGCTTTTTTGGTAATAAATGAGTATTTTTGGATTTTGGACTGACAAAAAAAGAAATTTTAAGATTTTGAAAAGGTGGGATGGAAATGTCTCATAATTCTATAGACCAAACTATTATTCAAGAACATAATCGACTGTTTACTTTAAACAGAATGTTAAGTCCAATATTAACATTTTCTCATCAACACACAAAAAAGGTTATTAACAATGTCAGCCCCCTTTAAAACTGGGTATGATATCAAATATATACACACATTTCGAGTCTTGTTTCTCTGTAACATTACTTTTTTAATAACAAAAAAAAGAAATACAAAACGATAAAATACAATAATAACATATAGAGGGATAACAATTCGTCATAACAACAACTTCAACCTTCCAACAGCTGTTGATAATTTGCACTAGCTAAGTGATGACATTTAGGATTACTTTCCAATATTTTGTGTATAAGTGTACATAAAGAGCTTACTGTACTAAATGTCTTGTCATCACAGTAGGAATATCAAGGGTGTGGTGTGTGTCATGAGACATTCACTGTTTGCTTTTAGTTTAGACATTGCTATTTGTAAGGCTGTGAGAAAGACTGTTGACAGGTCTGCTGGATTACCTCTGTTTAGACAGTTTGTGTGCTCTTGTGTTAAAATGCAACGTCACAGAAAATGTAATCTTTAATAACACGGTTTGAACAGCCGCTTACAAGTTAAATTCAAGAACTCACAAAGCATTCGTCATCACATCTAGATAATTATAAATGTGAATAATGAATAAATAAGGTTTACAGAATTGTAACCACAGCAGTATACATACTGTAGGGCTGGGTGTCCCCACAGACTTCCTGAAGCCATTTGATTCGGATTTATAAGGTCACAATTCAATTAAACATAAACAAATCTTTATTGGTTTGATCATAGTTATTTTAGTTACAATACCAATAACGCTTGACACAAGAACAGAAAAAGGATACAATTTGAAGAGATCAATCTCTGGATGTTATGAATTGATATTGGATAATTTATATGAGGATGGATTTGAATAGGAAAATCTATTTTTTTAAACCAAGTCTTAATCATGGTTATTTACTGCTTGCTAATTTCTATAGCAAGGGATGAACGGAGAAATAAAATACAACGAGTGAATACAATATCATATATGTTTTTAGAGTTGTGTTGTGTTAATGTAATGCGAGATTATGTTAAAAATCAAGCATTTTTAAAGGTCCCATGTCATGGCCATTTCTACTGATCATATTTCCATTGTTGAGGTATACTAGAATAGATTTAAATTGTGCAATTTTCCAAAATCACATTGGTTTCTCATACAGCATCTCTGTATAGTATGTGTATTCACTCTCTGTCCTACACGGCTTGTTGGAGCTCCTGCCCCCCCCTCCCTGTGAGCCCAGTGTGCTCTGATTGGTCGGGACGTTGCGAGGCACGTTGCTGCTCGCCGCTGCGAGGAGCGGACAGGTTTCGGGTCGGCGATACAGCGAGACACAGCGAAACTCATCCTGAGCACACACAAACACTCACAGCCAAAGTAAAAACAATAAGTGTAGCTTGATATTGAGTAAGAAAAAGGTTTATAACGCTGTGAGAATGGGTCTGGGTCTGCGGAGAGCATTTCTCCGCGATCCCAACTCGTCTATTACCAGCGTTCAGGGAGCTCTATGCAAGTCAATGGGGACTCCCTGTTAGTTAGCCAAGGGATCCTGGTGTGTGAGGTGCTCCGCGGATTGGTCCATTTGGGCCAATCCGGTCATTTGTTGTTGATTTGGGTGTTCACACATCACAGAACCCAGGAAGCAAACAATGGAAAATGAGAAATCTCGAACGAGGTGTTTTGGGGCAGCATAGACAGGTCTTTTCTGTGTTAGAGTTTTACTCGCTACAGGGTGTACTTTGAGGGTTTTTGACTCTGCAGACCGTTTACATGCAGAAAAACCTTCATAACACACAAGGGGACGGGTAATAACCGGAAAAGCATGACATGGGCCCTTTAAGGAGTATATTTCAACTAAAACATTTTCCAAACTTTGTGTGAGCTGTGCAACTTTTGGAGTGTTTCAGGACAATGCGGGAGCCTTGGACGATTGACAATCTTTAGGAACAGAAACTTTTTGCTATGATACCTGTTGATACTGACAACTAACAAGATAACATTGTTTATAAATGAATAGTTGTACATCAGCACATCTTGAACAACCCTCCTCCTTATAAAGAAGCTCCTCAAATTCCCAATGATGCATTGTGTTTTCTTCCTTTAAGAGCACAGCATACAATGAATGATCAGGTGTAAGTGCATAATGTAATTAGAGCATGCCAGGTTGGCACCTATGTTGTGAGACGCAGATAAAACAAATACTGCCAGAGTTTGCACAGTGCTGCTGCAGACAAATGAATATAGACACAGGTCAAATTTCAACTTTATCCAGCTCATCCAGGATTCATAGTCCTGTGCAAATACACCTGACACCTCTCACAAGCCAAAGTAAACTCCACTAGCCAATTCATGATAAATGTGCTATCTTTTTATCTTTGAGGCACAAGGAAACAAAAAAACAACAATACACAAGCTCTACTACTCTCACCCAAACTGCTAATGATTCAGCAAAAGCCTTTAATATAAAATGAAACCAAGCAATACTATACTATCTTTACTACTGCCATGCTATCTGTTAATGATTCTATTAAACAAACAAAAAAAGAAACCAACATCAAACTTTTTTTCTGTCAAGCTAACTGGAAATGTTTCTACAGAAGCCTTGAATATAAAAAAGACATCCAAAGTAAGAGCAATCTTTTGTAAACAATTAACTTGCTGAATGCTAAATGTGCTTGGAGGTGTTTGGGTGTGTGTGTGTGTGTGTGTGTGTGTGTGTGTGTGTGTGTGTGTGTGTGTGTGTGTGTGTGTGTGTGTGTGTGTGTGTGTGTGTGTGTGTGTGTGTGTGTGTGTGTGTGTGTGTGTGTGTGTGTGTGTGTGTGTGTGTGTGTGTGTGTGTGTACCTGTGAGCTGTCCTGGGACACCTCCAGTGGTGGAGGCTCCGGGCTGTACACGGTCATCATCTCGGGCAGGCCCAGCTCCTCAGGCTCCATGACCCCAGGTGCTCTGTGTTTAGCCTCTGGAGAGCTATTCTCCTCCCCACACAGGCTGTTGAATGACTCATGAGAGGAGGCCCAGTCGGTGCAGTCAGCAGGGACACTCCTCCCAGCTTCACCGTCGTACCCTCCAATCAGCAGGCCACCCCCACCTTCTCCTTGGCCTCTGCCTGACTGGACGAGTGGAGTGGAGGGGTTGCTGAAGCTGGGAGAGTTGTACTGCTGGAGTTGTGGGACGGAGGAGAGGTGAGCGTACTCCTGCCTCATGTTCCTCATGTCGGGTACGGAGCAGCTCATCCGGTGGTCCAGGGTGTTATCCAGCTGAAGGACATGCTTGCTTTGGTTCGGCTTCGCTCGGCGGAGGTGCGGCATCATCTTCTGGCGGAGATTCCGAAGCATCCCCGGCTTCTTGGAGTCCATGATGGGAGGGAGATGCGTCTGTGTCTAAGATCTGGACATCACCTACAGCTAAAGAACAAATCATTTCATTTCATTTAATCGTTTATTTGAAGAGGGACAGTGCATATTGATGAACATTTAAAACAAATAATGCTTTAAAACGTAAACATGCCAGATTTTAGCTTTGAGCTAATTTCCATCCGTAGTCCCTCACATACAACATTTAAGAACCTGACATTTATATACATAGCAAAAATAAATACATGATATCCAGGAAGAGCATGAGCAGCATACACAAGCATTAAACACATGGCAGTACACTGTAGCAGCTATGATATATAAAGTGCAAGAGAAGATAAAAGAGCTACATCAAGTGCAAGAGGAGATGCCCCTGTGTTAAAGTGCATTTAGCAGTGATTGCACGTCTGTTTGTTTCTCAACCATTCTTTGAGTTGACCTTTGAAGCTATTGAGAGTGGGACAATCCCGTATCTCAGTAGGGAGGCTATTCCACAATGAGCTGCCCTTAATTGATAGAACATTTTGTCCGAAAGTGGTCCGTCTGCGGTGGACTTCACAGTCTCCTCTGGTTTCTGACCTAGTGCAGCGTCCAGTGGGTTTTTTGTGGATGAAATCCCCTAAGGGAGGGAGGGGGGGCCAGTCCATGTAAACATTTATACATAAAACACATACTTTTAAAAGACTTAAAATTGTCAAAACTCAAGAAATTGTGTTTATCAAGGATGGTGCAGTGGTGGTATGAATATGGCTGTCTGTCAAACACCTTGATAGCTCTCTTGTACAGCTGTTCTATGGGTTTCAGATGTGTGGCACAAGCAAACGACCAGTTTGTCAAACAGTATTCAATGTGGGATAGAATCATACAGTGGAGGTATGACTTGGCAGCATTGACAGTTAAGAAAGGTCTAATTTGTTTAAAATGTTGCAAGTTGAATGTAATGGTATTGGATACTTTCTTAATATGTTTCTTAAAAGTCAAGTTTGAGTCCATTATGACTTCAAGATACTTGAAGTGGGGGACTAGTTCTATTTCTGCTCCGTTTAAAAACACATTGGATCCTTCGATTTTGACTGGTCGTTTACTGAACATCATGCATACTGTTTGTTTTGCATTTAACTGTAAGCAAATGTTGTTCAGCCAGTGTTGAACTTTGTCCAAAGCATTTGAGAGACAGGATGAGATCATTTCAGTGTTCAATGTACAAAGATGAACGCATTCATTGTCGGCATACATTTGCACAATCAACTCAGGACATACATTAGGCAAGTCATTAATGTACAGTGAAAACAGTAATGGTCCAAGAATGGAACCTTGTGGAACCCCAACAGGGTTGACAAGGTAGGGGGATTTGGTACCGTTGACCAAAACACACTGTTTGATAAGTAAGATTTAACCCAATGTATTGAATCTGCCGAAAAATTTAAATACGTCAGCTTTGTAAGAAGCACTTGGTGGTCAACTGTGTCAAAAGTAGGGATGCTCCGATCGATCGGCCACCAATCGATATCGGCCGATACTCACTCTCTGCCGATCGATCGGTGCTCTCTAAAAATGCCGATCGCGAGAGCCGATCGCATGACGTAAAATTATGACGTAAAATACATGACACTTTTCTCTGTGCGCGGCAAAACAAGCTCGCCAAAATGGCTTCTCCAGTCTGGCAGTATTTTAAGGTGTCCGAAAATGACAATAAAATAGCGGTATGCAACGTGTGTGTGAAGCAGAAATCCTTCAGCTCCAACCGCTGTGACGGACCGGTGAGCGGAGCGAAGCACACACTAAGAGTTAGACCTAACACACTTAGCTATTTTATCTACCTCTGGAACTAGCTAAACTAGTTATAAATATATGTATTCTTCACTGTCGGGTAACTCATTACTGGATCAGTGAGCTGCATGAGATACTGACGGGCTGTCAGGAAAGGGAGCGAGGGGGAGAGAGGAAAAGAGAGCGCTTCCGCTAATTTCTCCCGTGTTATTATCCCAAGTTAATGTAAACTTGAATAATGTACTTCATTTGAATGTAATAATTATGTTGGTTGTTGTTTGTGGAAGCGCCAGTGAATGAGCCCCATTAACTGAGTTTTAAACATCACTTTAAATGGAAGATTTCCATAGGCCCCGCCCACTCGATCGGATCAGCGATCGGTATCGGCCGATACTGATTCCAGCGATCGGCCCCAAAATTGGCGATCGGAGCATCCCTAGTCAAAAGCCTTCCTGAGATCAAGGAAGACAGCACCTACATATGGGCTCGTGTCCAACATACATTTAACCTTTTCCACAAAGACACAGTTAGCTGTGTCTTGGCAGTGCTTTGACACTACAGACTGGGACATGTTCAAGCAGGCAGCCACATACAACCATCACACCAACATACAATAATACACAGAGACAGTCACGGGCTACATCACCAAATGCATTGACGATGTGACGCAAAACAGAGCCATCACCATCCGGGCTAACCAGAAGCCATGGCTGACAGGAGAGGTCCACACGCTGCTGAAGGCCCGCAACATCGCCTTCAGAGCTGGAGATCCAGCTGGGCTGAAAGCAGCCAGGGCTGACCTGTCCCGTGGCATCAGGAAAACAAAACAAGAATATACCCGAAAAATATAGCAGGGACTCACGGAGCCTGTGGCAGGGCATAAGGACCCTAACGGACTACAAACTACCGCCACAGACCTGTGACAGTCATACCTCCCTGCTCAACAACCTCAACGGCTTCTTTGCACGCTTTGAAGCACAGAACAACACACCTGCGCAGAAAACCACCCCCCCCACCGACGACCAGGTTTTGCGTCTTTCACCAGCCAGTGTGAGGAGCACACTGTTGAGGATTAACCCCTGCAAGGCTGCAGGACCTGACAACATTCCTGGTCGTGTGCTGAGGGACTGCGCAGAAGAGCTCACAGATGTCCTCACAGACATTTTTAACATCTCTCTGAGCCAGGCTGTTGTTCCCTCGTGCTTCAAGGAAACCACCATCATTCCAGTGCCAAAGAAGTCATCTCCATCCGGCTTCAACGACTACCGCCCGGTTGCACTAACCTCTACCATCATGAAGTGCTTCGAAAGGCTGGTCATGAAGCAGATCAAATCCACCCTCCCCCCATCGCTGGACCCATTTCAGTTTGCCTACCGAGCTAAACGGTCCACAGAGGATGCAATCTCCTCCGCCCTCACACACCTGGAAACTAAGACTAAGGACCCATATGTTAGAATGCTATTTATAGACTTCAGCTCAGCATTCAACACTATCATCCCCCAGCGGCTTGTACAAAAACGTACAGACCTGGGGCTCAGCCCCTCTCTCTGCAACTGGTTGCTGGACTTCCTCACAGAGAGACCACAAGCTGTACGGGTCAACAACAACACCTCAAACACCCTCATACTGAGTACGGGGGCCCCCCAAGGATGTGTGCTCAGCCCCCTTCTCTTCACTCTGCTGACCCACGACTGCAAACCCAACTTCAGCTCCAACAACATCGTGAAGTTTGCAGACGACACTACTGTGGTGGGTCTCATCAGCAACAACGATGAGACTAACTACAGGAAGGAAGTAGGGATGGGTATCGTTTGAAATTTATCGATTCCGCTTATCGATTCCCCGTTTCGATTCCAAAATTGTAAAAGAAAGAGGTCAAACGTTTAGATAACAAAAATATCTTTATTCTTTTAAGCTTTAACTGACATTTTTACAAATAAAAAATATACATGCAATACAAATGTATTGCACAATAGCTGTGCTTTATTTTAACTGAGCTATGCCTGTGGCAAGCTATTAACAGGCATTACACTGTGCCTTGTCTTTTTCTTTTTTAGTGTAGTGGAGCCTCACTTTAGAGCATTTACCACGATCCATCTTTGGTGTTATGAAGTGACTGAGCTCGTGAACTGTTTACGGGAGGGCAGGGGGAGCCTCGCTGCGGGGCAACTGTAGACCTCTGTCGCCTGTCAGCGCAACTTACATGATGCCGTTTAAAAAAATTAAGGGCGGTGCCGGCCGTCAGCGTACCGAGCCGGCCGTCAACGGCCCGCTGACGACCGGCCGTTCTGTGATTCTCCAGAACACACAGATGGCCAGTCCGCCCTTACCCTGTATTCCACCGGGTCACAGCGGCGCAGACGGACCCGGTGGAATACAGGGTCTACCGCGTTTAGGAACCGTTAAGCAGAACCAAAATTGTGTATTTTGTATGGGTACCCGGCATTTTCTTATCGGTTCTCATCTGGAACAGAGTTTCGGTTCCCAGCCCTAGAAGGAATGTGAACCAGCTGGCCCTGTGGTGCCAAAATAACAACCTCTTCCTCAACCTGGAGAAAACAAAGGAGATAGTTGTTGACTTCAGGAGAACTCACCGCCGACCCCCTCTCCCCCTGACCATCAACGGCGCTGCTGTGAAGCAGGTGACCAGCATCAAATTCCTTGGTGTGACCATCACTGATGACCTTACCTGGAAAAACAACACCACCGCACTAGCGAAGAAAGCCCAGCAGCGCCTGTACTTCATCCGGAAGCTCAAGCGAGCCGGAGCATCACCCCCCATCATGCTGTCTTTTTACCGAGGCGCCACTGAGAGCATCCTCAGCAGCTGTATCGCGCTGTGGTTTGGAAGCTGCACCGCCGCCGACCGCAAGAGCCTGCAGCGCATTGTGAACTCTGCCCAGAGGATCATCGGTGCCTCACTCCCATCACTAGAGGACATATATATCACCCGCCTCACCCGCAAAGCACTCAGCATTGCGGGTGAAAGAACAAGATTATGGTCAGAAAGACCAGTCAGGAAGTTGTAGGTTTTAACTATTCTGTCAGCTTTGTTTGTAAATAATAAATCTATCATAGTCTTGGAGGTTTTGGTTATTCTAGTCCAGGCATCCTCAAAGTCCGGACTCCGGTCCGGATCCGGACCGAACCACAACTGTCTCTGGACTCTGAGCAAATTATACTTTTCATATGTATTATCTGTATTATCTGTGTTATCTGCGAGACATCGCCACAACGCAACGAGTCAAAATTCTCCGCTATGTCCACTGCAAACAGCGCTC